ATCAAATCCAACAAGTTATGGGGTATTCAATTAACTACATAAGGAACTTTATAAAAAAAAAACCGTTATTGATCCATTCCATGGATAATTTACTAACAATCTGATGGATTTTCGTAATTAAATAACACTACTACCAAAAATATGTATGTTGTCATATTCTAGATATGTCGGATTAAAAAACGATCTCTATCATGAGCTAGCGGCTAAAACGATAATGAAGAATATACTACTCAAAAGCCTATAGTCCCATTACGTAATATCATTAAATACTAAATTGTCTTGAATTTTTTTTAACCAAATACTTTAAATCTGTAACTTAAATTGATTGGAAATTAAAAACCTACAGTTAATACAAGAGAATGATTATAATGTACGACAAATTCGTCAAAGCTGTATGAATTGTATCAATAATGATTCTATGAGCGGCTGCTAATACGTCCTAAATATGAAAGGTATTCAATGTTGATAATATTGGAAAGTTATACAATAAAACAAGACAATTATTCAACGTTTTTTATTCATTCCTTAGACGACACCTCAATCTTATCAAACTTGATTATATGTTTAGTTTATCAAACAGTGGATTTGTCTTAAAGAAATTATTACTATTAGTTATTTGAGTGAAATTATGTTTATGAAAAATAAAAAAATTCAGTAGTTAGAATGATCTTCGTAAAGACTGCATGATACGTATACACAGTCTTATAAGCTATATTCTATTCGCTGTTGAAAATTCACATAAATCCTTGCTTAAAATTTAGACTACTGGGATAACATTCATTGATTTTTATTCCTAACTTCGATCTACTCGCGGCACTGTTAAACTATCTTCCGATGTTATTAGTGCGTAACTGACTCAAACCCAACATGGTTGAATCCCACTGGTTGCCACTAAAATTCAGGGACTTACCTTTTGAAGTTAGTCACTAATAATTACACATCAACAGCACTTAAAAGTATTTGAGCGAAAGTGTGAATTAATTGAGACTAGAGATGTAAACTATTGGTTACAGGTTCAATGGTTTAAAGGCTAAGAGCTATCAGTAAGAACTGAAGGTTTTGGGTTCAATCCATGAGAGTTTTATACTACAACAAAATATACATTGTTTTTCGGTTTTAATTGATCAGTTCTTGGTATGGACTGAAAATTTTTTAATAACTATTTTATTATTTTTGTAGATTTCTTAGAATTTCACACCCATGATGAATTTGACGATTCAACTCAATATATTCCAACTGTATAACGACCAAATTAAAGTTTGCATATTGACATTCGATTCAAATAACTGAGAAATTCAATTCTAGTCTAATTATCATAGCGTATTAATTATCCATCTGTGTGTTAAAGCTCAAAAACATTTCAAATTATTCATTTGCTTACAGAAACTACAAATTTTTTTGAGATGGTGTAGAAGATTTGTAGCTCAGGTGGATGATTTTGATGGAGTTTTATTCTCTGAGCTGGATGGTTTGGTCGTGGAGTTTTCATCGTTCTTCTGAACGACATCAGCACAAACTTCAGATAGAAGTGAAGTGTTCGAATTTCTCCATATGCGTTTCACAGTTTGTTCTGTACACCTCGACGTTGATTGGTTCTTATTGACCTTGAATTTGTCATTGTTTACTTATTTGTTTTGGTTGTGTCTCTCATTGGGAGAAATTCGACCACTTCACTTCTGTCTGAAGGTTGTGTTGATGATGTCGTTCAGAAGAACGATAAAAGCTCCACGATCAAACCATCCAACTCAGAGAACAAAACTCCATCAAAAACTACAAAATCTCGAATTTGTCGTTTTATCATTTACAAGCTAATATGTATTCTAGGATCATACTTTCGATTACAGCCAACATCATTATGTTATACCAGAAATATCATAAAACATCTACTCCCTTACTAATCAACTTTACTAACCATTCAGTTAATATCGACTTATTATAAAAAAAATCTTTATATAACATGTAATTATTTAGTTGTAAAACAAAAAAATCCATAATAAATTCATAGGAACATAATTTGTTTATTATGTCATTTAGTTATCATTGAATTCATTAACTAATTACAGAAACAGATAACTTTAGTCAGTTAAATTTCTGTGAATTTCATTTAACGGAATCAATACAACTTTTCATGTGAATCAACTTAATTGTTTATTGTGAATTTATTTTTCACATTATGAAGTTTGCAAGAAACAATTGTCAAAGATGATGGCGGTGATAATGATGATGATGTTGATGAGGACAAATTATTCATTATCCATTTATTATTTGAACATGATAGTGGTCGGCGATATGATGATGGAAATTGATTCGTTGGATTGTTTATAATTGGTGAAATATTTGAATTTGGCGCGTATTTTATATTATCTTGCATTACATTTTTCATTGTTGATACATTTGATGTTGTATTACTAGTCACTTAAATAACATAAAACCAGTAATATAAACAAATTAAAAAAGGAACAACTAAGATTTACTTTAAACATTCAATATTTTCATGATTATCAATAAGCTTTTAAATATAATTTGAATTTCTTTTGTGATTTTTCATCTAGTTTCGTTGACAATACAAATATGATTTGAGAAACTTCATGTTAAATTCTATATAATTGGTATTTGTGAATTGGAAAACACTTACAGCCGCTTACTTAGTAACATGTAAAATTAGTAAGTTTTCGACAAGACCATAAGTTGTGAACGAATCAGTTTGATTAAAGATAGGGAGTCTTGGATCTTGGCGCGAAATTCACTCATCCATATGGCTAAATGACATTTTGGCGTTATAGCTCATTTCAGTTCGTGATAAAAACCCTAACTCCTATTCCTAATCCTACTGTCAAACTGTAAATCGTAATTCTAACTCCTCACAATAATTTATAACCCTATTTTAATCCTAGTAAGTAGGTGGACATTCTCAGGGTCCCTGTGGTGTCACCCAAAGCTCTTTCATACATTATAATCTCGCCATTTTCTATAAGGCAATGAAATTCCTACCGGAAATATGAGTTACTCACAAGTACTTAAAATTGCAATATGAAAACGGCTGATAACATTGTTTTTTATCCAAAGAACTATTTTATATTATGCATTGAAAATTAAGGATATGTTATAAAATAACTAAGTTTGATTGTACGATTTCTAAACAATTTTCGATCAGATTGTTTCATATTAAGGCGTGAAAACAGATTATTTGAACGAAAAACGGAAACTGACTTTTCAGTCAGTCAGTAAGTAACAACGTAGAACTTCCTGCGTACGTAACATCAGTTCGAGTTGCCACACCACATTAGCACAGAGATGCAGTTGTCGATTCAAATCCCGTAGTGGTAGAGGTAATAAGAGTATAAGCAGTAATCGGGAAGATTAGTGTTTGGAGATGTTATTCAAGGAGTATAATACAGTGAAATAAATTTGGAAAGAGAAAAAAGGGACATGAAGAATTCAGAAGATTAGAATTTGGGAGAACACAAAGGGTGGATGCACTTACGCAATTGCAAACGATTTTGAGCCATGTCATTCAAGGCCTCTAATCATCGGGTGTTATCATCTCGTGGTCCCCAACCAGGTAGTTTACAACTACCAAAATGTCTCAGTTCACTTGTCAATGACTTCATGGATTTGTGCCATGTTTTGGTCTGGCCGTTCCCAGCTTTCTTCCAACCTACTCCTACACCATAAAACATCGCACGTCGGGGCAGTCGGTGGTTGAGCATACGTAACACGTGTCTCAGCCATCTCAACTGATGAACTTTCACTACATCATCAGTTGATTTGCCATCCTCACCTAGTACCGTTTCCTAACAACTGCGTTACTCACTCGATGGTCCCATGATATACGAGTAATGTTTCGAAGACACCTATGACCAAATAATAGTAACGTACAAATATCCTCTACTCTTACCGGCCATGTTTCACTGCCATAAAGTAGGACGGAACGAACTGCTGCGCAGTAAACGCGTCCTTTGGTTGATAGACGGATATCTCGCCTACACCATAAATGACGCCAGCTGGTAAAAGCTAGTCGAGCCTTCTGTATCCGTGCTAACTTGACTTTTAGTCAGTATGGGGTTGTGGAGATTGGCGGATTTTGTGGAAATCATGAACCTGTCTAAGTTAAACAACCATTGGAAACATGGAAGCAATAGACGGCTGTTCTATCCTAAATAGGAACTCCTCAATGGTGTACAGTCACGATCCCGTAACCAGAGATTGAACCTCCGACCTTTCATTCGGACGTTTGACCTTTAGACAACTGAACCAAAATCCATTCGCTCTCAAGTCAGCGATATCACTCGATTATTTTTCACTGTATTAGGTAGGCACTTTTCATATTGTTTAGGAAATTTCAGGTTAGTTCCTCATTTGAGGTCTATTTATCGTACGATTACGAAATATTTGGTATTCGATGCTAGAGCCTCCCTTATAGATACTGATTGGTCAGTATCGTCAGTTTCAATATGGTACGCGCACAAAATATCCTTAAATATTTTAAAGAAGTAAATATATGTAAATATAATGATATTTATGGTTAGGAATTAACTTTATACGCGAAGAGACTTGTCTTTGCCAACTGATTTGACGTTTTTTTTCACAACACTTTCAATAGTTAACCCATTAACAATGCATGTCAAGTACATGTAGCTGCAAAAAAAGATAAAATGTTTTTCATCATGAAGTTAATAATCTAGATTCTAATATCGATTGGAGAGTGGGGGGTTAGATTATGCTCATTTAGTAGTAGGTTATTTAATCTAATCTGCTATTAAACTGATTGATCAATATCCCCAGAAATCCTATCTACATACAGGATCCACTTTGTCTTTCTCACCCCGGGAGTTTGGAATATTAAACAAATTCGGACATTTTTGTGTAAAATAGATTAGTCAGGGCTAAAACTCCTATAGAACAAAATGTACCATTCCTTAATGAAAAAGCGACGAGATATCTACGTAGCATAAATAACTGTTCCGTCAACGTCTATTGGTCCAAACTGAAAATGTCAATACTTGTAAATAATGTCTATTTGTAACATAATGGTAATAACTAAAATACCCAGTTGAATTCAGCTAAAAAACGTTTCATCATTCCCGATTTTCAATCAATTTATCGATTTGTGAAACAAATAAAATATCTGATAAATGAAAAATAAGTCTAAATGATTTACATATTCATTGGAGAAATACTTGTGGAACACTGAAAATAAAATGACAAGATGTAAGTTTAAATGGTTCGTGAAAAATATATATCAGTCAAAACAATCGTTTAATAATTCATCCCAAAGTTGAAGGTTATCACAGTAAACTAAGGATTTCACAGTAGTGAATGAAGCTAAAACTTTGTAGACAACTGAGAATAAAAGTAATTAATCAATTCAGAACAGAAAAAAAATGAGATAAGGTGACAATTAAGTATGGATCATCACTAGACTGCAATAAACCGACCATCATGTTACTTTCAATTAATTAATCGTTTGTGATACGAGAAAGGAATTTCAGATTAAATTTATCATTAATATTGTACCTGTAGAATTTTGTGTCATCTGTGTTACGACAATTAACGAACATTTTACTAGAATGAATAAACCTACAAAGTGAAATATCATTAGATATCGCTTTATTATCACTATTATTCCTGTTAGCAATAACTGCCGAAAAATTATCTAGTGGTAAAAAGGTTTTCGATTGAGTTGATATCTCATCATCAAATCCTGAATCTGTGGAACTTTGCTTCAGGGAGGATTTTGGTGAAGAGGTAATAATCTTTGAGATTTTATTTGGATCATTACTATCCAAAGTGATACTGTCACCAGAATTAATTCCGGAATCACAGTTACTAGCATTGAGTTTATTATTACTATCAGTATTCTTATCATCAGTAGTATTATTATCACTACTGTCCTTTAATTTTCGGCATTTGTAAACTTCATCTAAATTCATTGAAGAATTATCATTCATAGTTAAATCTGCTGATCTTTGATTTACTATTAAGACTTTAGAAAGTTTTGACTGTGATTGACAAGTTGATACTTTTCTTCGTACTGCTGGTGACTTTCTAATTTTTTTCATTTTACGCAGAATGATACATCTTTTCTGTAAATGTTTATACAACTTATTATGATTTGATTTTTCATGATTAATATGCTTCACATAACTGTCTCCTTCATTAAATTGTAAAATGTTCAATTTGATTTTATCAACATAATTTTTATAAGTAGGCATTTTCTGCACATAATTTGTATCTAGTTGATCTATAGTAAGTGTAGACTGATAAGTTAATGATTGATGTGAAGATTCAGGTTTGATCTTAACAATTGTTGGCAATTTATTTGGTCTATTAATCAGTTGCTTATCATTGTTTGTTATAATCTCTTCAAAATGTAATTCTCCTTTGGATAGTTTCTTTTCACGTAAATATCTAATTGAATTAGTTTGTGTTGAATTAGAATTAGATGAAGTTGTATCATGTATTGTGTTAACATTCAACTTTTTGTTTCGATGTTCAAGTTTTAATGAAAATCTTTTATTTTATTCAATGATCTCGGTCGATTTAAATTCAAACTAACTAGTTTTATACTAGAATCTGGATTTCGACCTTTATCTATTTTAGGCAATAATGATGACGATGACTGTGAATTTTTATTTTTACCATGTATACTTTTGTGAGAAGAATACAGATTTGTGTTAGTGTATGTTTCATATTCAGTATACTGATTCAGCTCACCTTTATTCACTTGTTGTAGCCTCGATTGATTGAAGTTGGATGTAGAGGAATCTTTAACATCTGAAATACCAGAGGAATTTATGAGTGATCTCGATTTAACTAATTCTTCTAGAGATGATTTTAGACAATACTCCGATCGACTTGATTTTAAAAGATTGTCATCATGTGAAATATCATCGTTGTATTTTGATAGACAAACACCAGATTCCAAGCCAGTCAAAGACCCAATAGTTTTTACAGCATTTAAAACAGTAGGAACATTGCAAAATTTCATTTTATTTTCATATTTGCAAGATTTTGATCGTGAATCTTTTCTTGTTTCCTTCACTGATTGTAAATGTTTGACTGGATTATCAGTATTTATGTTCACAGTTGATTGATTATCAGTTGAAAGTTTTCCACACTTCATAGGTGGTAATAAACTGTCCATTCCTTTAACTATTTCCGCCGTGCATGCATACTCATGACTTATGTTCGATGGCTTAATTTCTTTTCGTGTTTGTGATTTCATTTGCCTTCCAGAATATCAATCAAAACAAAATGTAAACGATTATTCAGCTAATAACATTAAACTATTTATATTTTGTGAGTAGTATAGTTTAAAAGTAACGTAAAGAGGTGGTAGACTTGGAGAAAGGAGTATATGCAGATGGTACAGTATATTCAATTCAGGATTTCTAGCTGTAGAAAGTGATTTTCTACAGACGTGATTACAAAATAATCCCAAGACTGTCAAACACAGTCTTAGCTTAGCCAAAGTTAGAACAAGTAAGTTATTTCGCTCGATAAACTTTATCTGTTTCTAAAACGTAAATTGACATCGTTAGTATACAAAAAATTACAATTATTAAGTCTACTAGACAGGGGGAAAGAGCGACATAAATCACTTACCGAGCAGTAACTGGAAGACAGGAAAAATGAGTCAACAAACCTAATACCGTTTACGAAAGATATGAAAGATTATGATTGGTTCATGAACATGACATGGTCAAACAAGGTTAAAGAGAGTCAATGTGGTGATGGGTGTTTAATTCTGTCATCGCTGGGTTCGTTTATCGATTAAACTTTACATAAGCTAGCTAGGTGTATCTAAATATCGACAATTTTCTGGCACGTTATGTGTTTTAGATCCATTATTATTCGTGTCTTGCTGGTTTAAGGTCGCGATAAGCAGGCCATCAACATGTATCTTTCACTTGTTGATAGTCCATATCACGGCTTTATAAAACTGGGACTTCACACTAAGATTTTATATATGTATGATAAGACATGATAAAATGTATTTGTTTAATGCTTAACTTTACAGCTCGATAAAATGAATATTCTTTATCCAGTCTTCATAATAATACTCGACAGAAGCAATCTTCAGTAACAGTCAACAGGTTAGTGAACAATATTCCCTTTTAAACTAAGGAAGAGATTGTTTGCTATATTCTTAAATCGAAAGGACTACCATGCTCACCCAGTTATATACATTTGCAGGTAGGATCAAACGTCATAACTGAGTCATTCAATATGTTTGTATTTTCCTACTTATGTGAAAGCCATTCATTTTCTGTATTAACGGACCTCTCCCGAAAAGACTTGGTAACCGATAATACAACACACTATAACAATGTGATTTTGTCTATTCTACAAGTTGTAATGGTTTTAAAACAAAATCTTAGTGCGATTTTTCCGACTAATGCCTTACAAACATCTGTCGTCAATTTGAATTAATCAAAATGTGGAGTTGTGGAGATCGTAGTAATTTTAATAGTTGAGTTAAGGAGTCGATCCTCATTCTAGCAATAATCATGTGCTCACTAGTGACTAATTTTAAGACGAATTTCCCGGAGTTCCAGTGAGAAGTTGTGACAAGTGAAGTCCAATCCGTGTCGGGTGTGAGACAGTTACCTACCTCAGACAATGAATGATGGGTTGCTCAAGATCATGGGTCTATTGAAGTTAGATATTAATACCATCGGATGCCGGCCTAGTGGTCTGAAAGTTAAGCGTTCGCGCGCGAGACAGAAGGTCCTCGATTCGAACCTCGCAAGCGGGATCGTGGATGTGCACTGCTGAGGAGTCCCATATTAAGACGAAACTACTGTTCAGTGCTTCCAGGTTTCCAATGGTGGTCTATCTCAGATTGACTCATGAATTCAACAAATAAAATTACTATTATCTCCACGAACCCCACTGTGATATTATTTAGAGATCAATTAGTGTCAAATAATCCAGTTAAGTAAATAAATAAACTTATCATAACTTCACTTATGAACTAACAGGACAATAGGAGACATATTCTTCTTATCTCTAACAATTTTTGACATAACATTCACTTCTGGATTTGATAATGACTGACCATTGAAATCAAGTGTCGCTTTATTAAAACAACGTAGAATAGTTGTATTTTCCAACTGTGGTTTACTTATTTTTGATCCAATTACATAAAGTTCCATACCAGTGTACATATTAGATGGATTATGAAACGGTTGTCTATACAGTAATTCAAAACGTCCAACATCCGAGTTACGATTGTATTTTCTATCTAAAACAACTGGTTAAAATAAAATAATAAGAAAATATAATTTTACTAGTTCAATATGTCCAACATAGTGATTTTCCAAAACATAACTAAAAAAACTTGATTCAGGAGTACAGCCCCAGAGAGAATGCTATAGTAAAACCTCAGTCCCTTTCTATGCTCACTCTATAGTAAAATTTATTTGTTCAACTGTTCAGAAGACGAATCAACTATTTTTAAGTGAATTACTTCATAAAAACAGGTGTCAGTTATTTTCCTCAATCTAAAGAACTGAAAGAAGTAGTCTTCATGGATGATATATATAGTACTAAAGAGAGAAGCATCTTGGATTCCACTGTTAGCTACAATCCATATATGCTAGAAACCCTGACTAAAGGCCTTAATTAAGAAATTCTCTCAGGGTGCATACATGCAAATAAATATTGATCAATTAGAAAGGTCCATAATATCGATAACGAGAAAATTCAAACCTTAAAACATAAGTAGTGCAATAATTTCGGTGGCCCAGTACTAAATATCATACATGAACTGTTACATTATTAGTTAATAAACATCCAAATCAAGTGTTACATAAATAGTTACGATATTTCAATGAATGAAGTTTTAAAGCGATAAGAATCTAATAATCAACAGTCAGAGAGGATATTTGCTAGTTTGTTCAATGAGAAAATCAAATCAAATGATTTCACGTAATTGTTATGTGAAACTAGTAAAAGGTATATAACGCAAGATGGTCACTGTATTTTTCTACATGCTACTAGTTTGTAATCAGTTTTAAAGACTATTATCAAATTATAGAGGTTTAGTTATCATTAGTAGAGAACATGATTGATATTCGATTAAAATTAGGAGGGGTGAGGTCAAGGTATTCTTGTGCTTGTTAAATGGCTTACTAAATGAAGTTCAGGTCAGTAGAACTCTTAAGATCATGGTAATAGTATATGCTATTATCTTGTAAACGACTTCTATTTTTAAGTTAATGATAATAAGTTAGTAAATACTGGTGAAAGCTCAAAATTTTACAAAACCTAGTGAAAATTTCGACGTAAGTAACACTAATTTGTTTTATATTTTTAGTACGGATACACTTTATGGTTACAAAAGTACTGTGAATTACCACGTTGACGCGGTGGTTAGGCTAGTTTGCCATGGGAATCTAATCGAACTATATTCTCTAAAAAGTTTGTTCAGTTAGGCTTAGCTTAACCAGAGAAGTTGCATGAAGAATATTCAAATCAAAAGTAGGTATTTAAGGTCCGAGGGCGAGGTTTTACTGCCATCTGTACTAGTATGCGGTAGTGATGAGATATTTCCCGCAAATAACTAACATCTACAGCGATACTCCCTATAGAAAACTAAAGGGATGTGTGTTTAGAATAATCACCATTACGTTCTCACAAGAATTTCCAGTACCGACAGAAAGGTTTGAAAAGTATGGAGTTTATACCCTGAAAAATTGCTCACAAAAGGCCGTGAGCTAACAGCATCAATCAACTTCTCTTTAGACTCTACAGTCACATGAATAAGTCAATAAAATCATCACTAATCCACTTCCATTTTAGGGTACCTTAAGATGAAATATCTTTTTACGGTGCAATCAAGCGGGAATCTGTAATTTCCTATACACCATTAACAACACTTGATCTTAATGTTTTCACTTCCTAATTTTTGTAGCTGAGTGGTAAACATACCTGAACACTTTGTAAACATCGTCATCATAAATCAATAAAGATAACTAAGAAAGCAAAATAATACAACTGATCAATGTTCAATTTTCGGTAGTATTTCTGTTGAATATTTTATTTATATTAGGAAATGAAAACAAAACGGTTCAATTTTTTCGACTCTATTTTTAACTGAAACAATTTTTGTGAGATGAAAATTAGTCAGTATTTAAGCGAAGACATTGAATGAGATTAAAAGAAGTTAGAAATTATCATATCATTCAGTAATATAGTAGAAAAAATAGTGAGAAAATAGGCGGGGAATTTGACTGAAAATGAAATGTTTCAGTTCATCTAGTGATTCATCAGGAACTGAAAAGAAAGTAATTTTAATAATACCGTTGGAGATCATAATAATAATTTTTTCCTCATCAATCAGAACGTATCATTTAATGATCTGTTGGATCGGATGAAAACTAAAGTTTTGATGTGAGCCGAAGTTATATACAACGTCTTTAATGTCTACTGAGTTGTACCCAATAATTTCATCTACTTTCCAATCATTTAGTGGATGAGTGCTTCATTTTAGAGAATATTTTTAGCAAAAAAATTTACTTCAACCCCGGACGTTTTACTGTATTTTTGTTTTTAGTCAGCTATACGGGGCTGTACTACACTGAATTTATTCATAGCGGACAGTTGTGGATACCTTCAGATGCTTAAAAGAAAATCATTCATGAAAATTACTCTTGAAAATGCAGTAATCGCCCATTTAGTGAACTGAAAAGTAGAAGAAAGTATCAGTCAATAACATACTTAATAAACATTGAGAACATTGAGGATAACCTAAGCCATGATGTGTCATACAAATATTTTAAGGCTTGTTTAAAAACTTAAATTTCGAATTGCTAACTTACTGCATTTAAGAGATCTAGACTGATGACATAATTCTCACAGTTATTTTCATTCTCATTGTATTCACCTAATTCGAAGACAAAAAGGTTTATTAATCGTTTTTTAACCTTATCCTTAAATTCCAAAAATTTCCAGTTCGTGAAAATGCTATTCAAGTTATATATAACTATCTGACTACCTGGTACGTATGGGATAAGTTGAATATTTAGTGTTTCATTAAGTCAAGCAAACATTATTTGAAGTAATTTGATTTGTAATAGGATTCATTTTTCGATGGGGCTTTACATGGAATTTATGGATTTCTTCGTACTTAACGTAGTTTTAATAAAAATAATTCTGTAAAAAATAAAGAATTTGCCAATCATAAAGACTTGATTCCTCTATGGATTATTTATTCTAATTTATCAAACAAAATAGAAGAATAAAGAAAAAAAACAGGCATAAATTACCTTTCAAAGTATCTTCTAATACACTAGCAGTGTATACAGCTGTAACAGATGTACTCGGTGACATACATGGACTTGAATTAATTTCAATAAGCCATATTCTGTAATCACTGTCAGTTAACAGGAAATCTGCTCCATATAGACCAAAACAATTCTAAAATATTAAAATATCGAAAAAATAAACAAAAAACGGACAATAATACTAGGAAGAATAAGTTGTTGTGATATTAAAATTATGATAAACTGATTATTTCTACTTAGTAGTGACTTATGTAATGTTAACTAGTCTTCAGTGTTGGTTGAAATTTCACAGACTTAGTTACACTTACTTTGAAGTTAGATCATTGGTGACAATTGACAGGAGGCCATAGATACAAGTTTCCAGCTAGCTGGTATTCGTTAAAAATGATTTATCTACATTATTTAGGGAGTTGATATGATGTGAAGTGTCCAAGATCTGATGTTGATACATAAACCGATACTCACTAGTCCCTCCCTAACTAACCACTTGAACGAGAAGATAAAAAGGGAAAGGAAGTCTATTGGGCTACCAAGTAATGTGCTCAAATACTCATATATATATATATATATATATATATATATATCCTTTAAAAAAATCAATCAACTTAGCTAATGATATGCAGGTGTCCCTCAGGTCACTTCCGACTGTCATAAAGTGACCTCATTTTTCTACTTCTGAGTGGCTCACTACATCAGTTGGCATTCATTATGAAATTCAAATCCATTTCATCCAAAGTCACGATTAGAGATGATACTCCTGAGTTATTCATGCTGCAAGTGATATGCTGTGCGAAGCCATTACCCTTGAGAATATAGATATATCTTTCTTAGAATTCTCATTTGCAATTGATTGGTTACTGAGTAGTGACCTACGTCATACTCATCTAGTCCTTCAGTACTGAATAAATACTATCCACCAACTTGCAATGTGGACACTCGTCTGCGGAACTTAACTTTGTTTGCACTGTGTTGAAATGTTAGGTAGTTAGAGATAATCGGAAGGATATCAGTTGGATCTCGAATAGTCTAGTGGAAGCATCCCAGCTGGGTGACTAGTGTCCGGATTCACGAGGAAGCATCAGCTCCCTAAAGGTTGCAGCTAGACCTTGTAGATTAATGGCGACTGGAACGATACATAAGCCCAAGTTTTCCTCTTGAATACCTCTGACCACCTAACATTCTTAAATAACATGAAACCCAAGTTGACTATCACTGACTGATTGCTTCTAGCCACCCAACATTCAAATATATACTCTTCATTTATGTTCCTGAGAGTAAAAGTCTCGATGATCCCACTAGTTATAAAATTATATTCAACATTCATGACCCCACTAAAAAGATGTTTGCACTAGGCTTATTGACTTCATGTGTTAAAACGAAGCATTGATGACAACATAAATTTTCAACAAGCTAGAACGTACATCTATTTCACTAGTAAAATATAAAACGCTGTAAGAAATCGAATACATTCATTTTATCCTAAAGATTTGGTTTAGATTCCAAAAAATTAATTTCTGTATGAGCGTGGTGTGTTTACCTGGTAAAATACTTAAATAAGTTAATAAAACTTATAAGAATGCATTTATTCAGTAGGATAATTGTAAAGAAAATTGGAGATATACGTGTAAAATATGTTACAAACAAATATTTTGTTGATAAAGGTCATTCAGTTATTAATAGTTATTCACAAGAAGAAAATAATTGCTAAAAACCATAAACATGGATTATTTTGCTAAACTATGTCCTTATCAGTTTTCATCCATATGGGGAAGCATATATAAGCGTGTTGACTGAATGCGTACCTTATAAAACCTTGGTACGGATACAATGGCTAACTTGGTTTTTCTTAAGATGCACCACCTGTATTGCAGGCAAAATGTCCGTCACATATATCCAGCTATATGTTTTACCAACTCCCGACCTAAAGAATCCATTTCTGACATAATCCACACATTTAATTACATTACTCTGAAGAGTTATACCATGCGCTAATTTATATTAGCTATAAGTAGACAAACGAAATAAATAGAACAAACTTATATATATATATATATATATATATATATATATATTATATATATATATATTTGTTATATATTTATAATTATTTATCATTAGTAAGTCTTCCAAACATTAAATAGATTCACTTGGTGTTGTTTACTTCTATCTTCCCATTGTTATTTAGGACTGCAGTTGATCAGTCTCTTGTTGGCATATGTCCATACTGTGCGGACTGCGAACGCAGTACCGTTCGCTTCAAACGCCATCGCATTATCCACTTAGCTACTGAGTCCTTATAGACACTTGCTTTACCTCATCTTCACTAAATAGATTGTTACTTGAAGACTATGTTCCTTATACTTTTATTCAACCAAAAAGATAACACTAAAGCTTAAAACCGGAGTTGTACTTTAAAAAATTACATTAACAAAATTGTTTATAACATTAGGTCAGAATATCATTTAAATATGAATAACACTAAATTTTACTCGAATCAACTAACCTTATTGTAACCATGGTAACATATTAAATTAATGATATACAAATAAACATTAAACAATTCTTTCACTATTTTAATTATATTAAAAGAAAAAAAGAATTAAAATAACTAATAAAATGAATTACATTTAATTTGCCTATTAATTAATTAATTATTATTATCATCATCAGAAGGGGTTATTAATCGGTATAATGAGTAGTGAATTTTGAGAGAGAAACAAACAAGCAAACAAATATAAACACTAATTAATTAATTAATAAAAATGACCTTATAAGTCCATTAATATGATATTGAGTATTGTTTGTTGTTGTTTAAAACAACAACGACAAAAAAAACGGTAATTTATTATAAATAATAAAACAATATGCAACAATATTAAATTCAAATGTAAACTATATAAATATAAACTATATATTAATAAAATATTTATTTTTAAAAACTGAATCTTTTAATTGAATACTAGATTCGATTTCTCAAGCTCTTCTAGTAACTCGCAGGCTAAATCTACACAACAATTCGAACACGAGAGAAAAGTCATGAAATATGGAAGAAAGGCTTTACTCCAAAGATTTGTTTGTGTACAGAAAATTTAGGGTATTTATAGTATTTTAGTTGGCCTTGAAGTTCCGGAAATTCCTGGAACACGACTAAACATAGAGACAGTGTGATGAGTGCTACTTATATTGACATAAGTAGTATATAACATGAGTCAGGAATGTAATGTCTGAAAGCAGAAGATTGGGAAGATCAAGAAAGGAAGAACGGGAATAGAAAGCAATTAGTATAGAAATGCAAAACAATAAAGTCCGAAACAGTTACTAAACATTTTTCAAATTAGGTATTATAGTATATTTTTTCTATTTCATCAAGTAACTCTGTAATGTTGTGCTAAATATAATTCGGTTGTCCTCACCTGTGTTCTTCTTCACTACAACAGTATAGATAATCATTCAATCAGAAACGCGACATATGACTTGTCACTTTCTAGATGTTTCTGGCGAAAATTCTATTGAATGCTAATTAGATAAGGTGTTTCTCAGAGTTTTCAGAACCTTTTTTATCTTTTTTCTTTGAGAAATTTTCTGGACCTTTCCAACAATAACTAACTCAATTTGATTACAAATAAATTTATAAATAGTGCACTACATAATATTTAAAATTTATAGGTTTATTTCTACAGAGAGTTGTCCGTAAGTGGCCTTAAGGATCTCAAAAGTAAGGTTGTTATAACTATCTATTTATTAGTTCTTGATTTTCAATGATTCACCAGATGATATCCGTTTAAATTAATTAATATTATTGAATAATTAATTATTTGGAAGATACTCATTGACAAACTAGAAAAAGATGAACTACTTCATATTTGTGAGACTGAGATTTAGTTTATTTTAAAGAAAAATCCTTATCAGAATCTACTTCAATCGTATTTAGTTAATTATCAGAAACTACTGAGTGGATTATTGAAAAATTGAACGTTATATGATAAAGGTAAATTAAAATGTCAAAATAAGCAAAGAAGTGTAACTGGCAGGGGAAAAATGACACAAGATAATGAATCATAGTTTCTCAAAGACTTATTCTCTGAAGAAGTAGCTTGTACTGAGTTACGAAACGCTAGAAAATTAAAAAACTAAATTTTTTTACTCATCGGGATATCATCAATAGATTATTTTTCATTGATGGAGTTTTGGTTGTGGAGCTTTCATCGTTCTTCTGAACTATATCATCAGCACAAACTTCAGGTAGAAGCTCCACGACCAAACCGTCCAGCTCAGAGAACAGAACTCCATTAAAATCATTCACCTGAGCTACAAATCTCCACCACCTTAAAATCGTATGAGCGTAGTACGTTTCTTGTTGTTCGAAAATGGGAGAATTTCACCAAACGACAGGCTTCCTCTCGAGAACAATCGTATTTTATCTACGAGTGTCTTCGTCAGTATGTTCTAACAACAAGTGTAAGATACAGACCTCCAGTCAACTGTCCAATGGGATGGAGAATAGCTGACCAAAGTGGAAGAAAAATGGTACACCTAATGATAACTGATGCCCATTACAGGATCCACAAATGCCAACACGCCATAGAGGATCAAAAAATGAAGCTACAAAGAATACTGACGTCAGAACATTTGTAAATCTTGGCAACAGCCATCGATATATCATGCAAACAATATAGAGAACAAAGAAGAAACACTTTGAAGAAGAAACTAACCAAGATCTCAAAACCACTCATGGAAGAAAACATAAACAACTATGTGGTATACTTGTCAAAGTAAACACTAACAAACATAGAAGAACACCTACTCCGAAAATGATTAAACTAAAATACCAGTAACGCCTCAAAACTGGAAATCTTCACAGCACTAGAGCCATTACTCAAAACGTTCGGAATAAATGAAGAGACGCGACAAGAAATAAAACAAATTATAGTACCGCTAACTCACCGAATGAAAGACAGCAACCAACTAACTCCAGAAGAACAACAAGCTTTAAGGAAACTCAGAACTAGAAAAGATATTGTCATATTATTTCTTATTTAGAATCATATTTAGGGACTAAGCATCTGAACAATCAAAAAATAATGCTTAGTTATTATAGAATCCGTATTTAAACTGTTTCAAAACAATTTTGATCAGATTTGTAATTCATTTTAGTTATATAGTTCAAGATTCTTGTATCATAATTCGATATTATATTTTGAGATGATCACCTAATGACGTTTTACAACCTGTTTTTGTTTAAACAAATAATACTGTACATTAAAATAAGTAGTAAACTTAATAAACTTCAATAGTTTAATAATAAATAATGGAAATAGTGGAAAAGTGTACTCTAAAGAAGTGGCTTACATTAAGTCACGAAACATCAGAAATACAATTTTTCTACTCATTGAGATATAACAATTAACTCTTTACCCAATTTACTTAAAAGTATCAAGTTCAATTATGATATGGATACCTTCAATAGTTTAGTTTAATGTTAGGTAATTTAGAGAATGATATGTATTTTAGATAATTTAAAGTATTCAAGCATAATAATCAAGAGAAATAAAATAAAATACTGTTATAGAAAATAGTTTAAAGAAACTGTCTGTTAATTTCTAAATTTTAGTTGTTACTTTAATATAAGATGAATATAAATCTCAATATTTTAAACTTGAAATTAAATAATAAACAATCAGTTACATACTTTTCTAGGTTCGATAGATTCTTGTGAAGATAAAAGTACATTTAGAACAGCATTTTTCATTGCTGGTTGAATTTTCTCAGTCCATAAATTTGGTTGACCCTGTTCACTGTATTTAGTATAATCATGAATAAATAAAGAACTGTTGAAATGATACAGAAAGTTTATTACTCAAATGAATGATTTTAATGGTGTTAAATTCTCTGAGCTGAATTTCATTATTCTTCTAGATAACATATTCAGCGCTTGTATAAAGTAGTCTCAATGAAATCTCAATAGGTAAACTATCTAACTTAGATAAAGAACTATAACGAATAATTAATTTTAATGAATCGTTCGAAGTAAAATAAAAAGAAGCCTAGTTATCAATCATAAGTATAATATAATATCTTTAAATTACCTCTTGTGAGATAAAGAGACTGAATTATAGATTGATACATGCTTAAAACTTGTTAAAACTGATTTTTTCAACTACCAATAAATAAAATGAACAATGAAATCTTATGAAATAATACAGAGATAAACTTAATTTAAGTAAATTTTGATCTGGATCTTATAAGTTTGTTTGAGATGAATAGATTAATTAATAAATCAATCAGTCTACATTCAATGAAATATATAGATTAAAATTTCATCAAGTTTCAATTTGAGTCCTGGTTACAAATCTCTTCCATAACAAACTGAACATAATATATGATATATAGAATTTCAATAAATTAAATTGTATAGTCCTCTAATACGGTATTTTAGATATTTGTATAATTGAAAGGTGCAAATTTATCATGGGCTGATGATAAGTGAAGATGTATGATGGAATGAAGAAATATACCATTCTAGTTCGAACCTTCACATGATTGTACACAGGATTAGATGTTTGACCACAGAAATAGCATCGATATTCAGTTAATGGGTTAATAAGCAACATGACTATGCGCAAATAATTAAATCGCTATAAAGAAATCAAATTCTACTTACGTCTAAACGAGCATAAAAGAACGATCAATCCTTAAGTAAACATTAACATTTATTATGTCTCGTTGATCAACTTTTCATTCATTATTATATGATCAGGTTTGAATTCAATGGTTATAATGTTTTAACTTCACTCATTTGATGAAATTATCATACCAATCAACTCTCCTCCCTACTTGTGCGGCAAAGTAATTTTATTGATTTAAAATTTATTTAACAAAAGTTAATAATTAAAATGAGATCGGTTTTACACATCATCTATTTGTGATGTGTGCTACTTATATCGACATGAGTAGTATGTAGTGATAGTTAGAATTCGAATGTTTGACAGAAGATTGTCGAGAAGAAAAGAAGGAGAACAGAAAGTAATTGGTATGAGAATGCAGGAACAATGAAGTCTGAGACGACTGATTGATATTTTGCAAATAAAGTGTTCACTGTATGGTTCTCAGATTTTACTAAGACGTGATGTAATTTTGTTTTCTAATATATTCGATTGTCCCCCATTTGTAACGTCATTCACTACATATTTACAATACAGTAAATCATAAAATATACAGATGAATACGAACTTTTTAATATGATTAATAAATTGGAATTAACTTCATAAATCATTTGTAAAAAGCTTATCATTGATATAGAATAAAACTAAATTTTTCTTAGCGGATTTGAGTTTTTTGAGCACGGTGATTTGATTGCAAAGCTTTCATTATCTTCCTAGACACAAAACGTTAGGTAGAAACAAGCCACTACAATTTATTCACAAGTGAATAATAATTTGTTCTTCCAACATTAAAAAAATACTGAGAGTTTTACAGTTAAACTACTGAGCTCAGAGATAGTAACTTCACCAAAGAAACCATTCTTCTGAACTATGAGTCCTTTTCGTCGTGTTAGGAATGGAACTTATATATTAATGTTTAGTTTACAACTCACGTTAGCCAAGTTTGAAATTGTTCCCAGGTCCACATATTTTCATCTGGTAATTTCAATGATCTAAGTCCATTTTTATATTTATTTTGTATACAATTGTTACAAAGATGTATTGATCTTTAAACAGAAAAAAGAAAGATGTGAAGCAAATCAAACGGGTGATTATAAAAATTATTAAGTAACATTTGGTTAAATATTGTAAAATAGTAGGGGTTCTAATGACTTGTTTTTTTTATCTAATACATAGTTTCTACAATTTATCAATCACTAACAAGTATCATACACGACAAGTAATTCACTGGTGCTAACCGAATTCTACTGATCAAGTTGCATTGTGACCACTGGTCTGAGTGACCTGACATCCAGTTCACTATAATGAAATATAAAGTTTTGGTTGGGGGTAGTCTTTAGGAAACACTTGACGTAGGTTTCCATTTATATGAAACCCATCAGCATGATTTACCTGTAATCTTCAGGAATTCGAGGTTCCCTGGTAGATTCAATTCTCTACCACCCAACTTCACAATCAGAGACGTTATATACATGACATTAGTCACTACTCAGGGATCAATCATAGGTAAATATACCTTAGTCCTATAGAGTTTACTGTCAATTACCTCCAACTACCAACTTGCATACATAGTTTCCTCCAGTAAACTCGAAAATAGTATAGAGCGATTGTTTGAGCTGAATAACACGGACTTTTTTTATTTTGCCACATTATCACTTTTTAATTACAACCTGATAATATTTTAGTGTCAAAATTGCTGATAAAGTTTAAAATACTTATAAAAATATGGTTAAAAGTTAATATGGACATATATCGAAATGATTTAGAAGAGATTCAAGTAAAGCTACTAAGAGTCAGTTACCAGAAACGTAGAATCTGGCACATGTGTGCATCGGTTCAAGTTTCCACACTGAGATAAACGTTTCAAGATAAATGAAATAGTGGAAGTAGTAACAGTACTAGTGACATTAGAAGTATGGATGAATTCTCGGGACAAAAGGTTCAAAATAATTCTAGAATTCATGATCTAAGGATTAACAAAGAATGGTTGCATTTAAGCCAATGTTATTGATTCCGATCCACGTCAATCAATTTCTTCAAACTTTGGTTACAATGACTGCACAAACCCCAATCACGTAGTCTGTAACAACCAACATGGCTCAATTCAACGGTCAATGTCTTCATGGACTGAAAACACGTTTTCGATTAGCTGTCCCTAGCTTTCTTTCAACCCATCTCCGAACAAGCAAACATCGTGTGTTGAGGGTGGCGGTGGATGAACATACGTGATACGAAGAACAAATAAAATATTCTATACAACTGTTATATGGAAAAAAAGAAAGTTCTGAGACATTGATTGAAACATAAGCAAAACAGCCTAGGACTGAAATTAAGTGCTTAATAATAAAATGATCGAACAATTGGGTTGAAGATAACTAAAAATACACCCCTTAAACTCAGTCAGGCAAAAGATTAATTTTTAGAGAAGCATTTGAAAATTATTACCATTATTGTTACAACTACCATTAATGGTTGAGATCATGAACCGATTGATGTTATACCACCGTTGCAAAACTGGAAGCACAGTCCTCATCAGTGCACATCCACGATCCCGCCCCCTCACGAAATTCGAATCCAGGGCCTTCAGTCTCGCGCACGAATGCTTAACCTACTGAACCACTGATCCTGCATCCAATGGTGTTAGTGTCTAACCTTAACCAATCCACGAAATTGCTCAACCATCTTCCATTGTACTGAGATAGATACCTGTTTCTACCCGACACGGATTAGCTCCACTGGTCATGGCTTCTCACCAGAACTCCGAGAATACCCTCACGAATGGTGGTGACATGTGGAGAGTGTCATCTGAACTTATGATCAAATTATCAAAGGCCTATTGTCAAGATTACAAAGATTTTTCGATGATTTGATGAGTACGTAGTTTGCTTTAGCCGTTCCTAGTCAACTCATAACATTACCATTTAGCTTTTAAGCTACATAACATTCTCTATTCTGGAAAACTAAAATGTGAAATATCTATTGTATCTCATCTATTAAGCAAAAGCTTGACTATAAACAACATTGTTTTGTATGAGGGCTATTAATAACAGCCGGCTTCCGCCACCGACTAAATTTAAACGGTATTCTAATATATTATCATAATAGTCTAAAGGTGAGAAGATTGTTTCAATAAACAGTTGATTAACAGTTATCGCTTCAAGAAACATAATTAAGTATTTCTATATGGTTGAAATAAATAAATAAATATTAAAGGTTTTTTTGTCAAATTTATGTATTTAATATACAAATTAAACTTACTCACTGAAATCATTCAAAGTGAACTCCTGAGAACAAAATCTTAAATAACAATCTTGATACCACCAAACAGTTAATGGTGCCCAATCAGTAACAAGAAACCACTGTCTAATATCAAATTTTGTTCTGTATATTAATAATGGTCTTTCAATATATTTTTGTACAATATAACGTGCTTCAGTAAGAAATACACTACCTTGTACAATTTTTAAAATGTCATCTAATCGATCGTGACAAACAATACCTGAAAGGAATAAGTAAAATAAACTGTAAACTCAAATAGTTTAATTGAGGGGGGGGGTAATTAATCGTGAATGGATAAGTCACTAATTTTTGTTTAAGAAAGTGAAAAGGAAAATCATTTTAAGAAGTACAAAAGGTAGATCAAAATCAATAATTATTCCAAATTAACAATATCTATTGTTTTACTACAATAATATATATGAATAATGAATTAAACAATAGGTTTAGTATAAACTTCCTATGTAATTACTGACGTGTGATGATTAAAGTCCAGATTATATAATAATAAGTATTTTGTATAAATGAATAATAAATTTTACCAGTATAGTGGTTGTGGAGGTTGTTAAGTTTTTGATTGAGATCATGAACCGATTGATGTTAGACCACCGTTGCAAAACTGGAAGCACTGGATGGCCGTTTCGTCCTATTGTGGGACTGCTCAGCAGTGCGCATCCACGATCCCGCCCTCCTCACGAAATTCGAATCCAGGGCCTTCAGTCTCGCGCACGAATGCTTAACCTACTGAACCACTGATCCGGCATCCAGTGGTGTTAGTGTCTAACCTTAACCAATCCACGAAATTGCTCAACCATCTTCCATTGTACTGAGATAGATACCTGTTTCTACCCGACACGGATTAGCCCCACTAGTCACGGCTTCCCACCAGAACTCCGGGAATTTTCTCAAGAAGCTAGTCACTAGTGAGCACATGTTAATTATCAGTATAGGAGTTGTGGAGATTGTCAAGTTTTTAATTGAATAAATTTTACATTTTTATAAAAAAATTATTCAGTTTCATTTTACTACGTAATTTTGCATGAATTCATGGAAATAATACAAATTATTTCAATGTTGAATATGTTTCACTTAAATTTTTAAAATGTTTCCATGACCTATTATAATTTACATTTTGTTTGATTTCAAAGAGAAAAAGTAATTTTAGTGTAATAAAACTGAGCTTGTAAATGTAATCATAAACGCTAAACAAGCAACATCTATCTTAAATAAGATACACCATCCAATTATTTAGGTAAATTACTAAGAATTCAAAAATCCTGCTTTTTAATTTACACTATGAGTTAAAAGTCCATAATAAGTCTGGGATTCGTGTTTTATGCTTTGAGTGACATTTGATTTTCCTTCATTGCTAATCTTGTCTATAAATATGCAGTTTTATCCTATATTTTCCAAGGTCATTACAAACTATGTGTTCAAGCAAGTTATATGTTACGCATTTGCAACAGTACTCTATTGTCTTCTAGTCTCGAATGTCAGATTTTCTTGATTTATTCTTCCCGTTATCAAATGTGAATTCATTTTAGTTTTCCGTATTCTTTTTCGTTTTTTTCTCTCTACCGAATTCTCCAGGAGAGACTAATTTGAACACTCTTCCACGATAAAACATATCTTCAAACTACATGAAATCTAATACTCGCTTGAATGTTACGTATAAAATAATTCTTTCTACTGTCTGAACAACAAACGCTTTGTCATAAAAAGCTAATCATCCACTTGATATTGTTATTATATATCACGAACAGTTGGAGAATTGTTACTGGTATATTCGTTGCATAACGCGAACAATCTAACCTTCTAATCAATAAAACTAGAAGATAAATGAAAAAAACGACAATAACTCACCCCTCCCTCTTGATTTTGCACCAGGTTTTACAATCCAAACATTACGCACTCCATCCATATCAAATTGTGGACAATATTTTTTAAGTAATTTACAAAGATATTGACAATGAGATGATAAATGTTTAGCTGTCACAAGTAAATGAGGCATTCTAAAATATTTTCAATATAATATAAATTATTCAGATATTAATATTAACAGTTCATTAATTATAAAGAATGATATAAGTTTATATTGTCCTGTAATGCTTGAAAAATGTATGCTACTAAAACTGTTTACAGACTTTTCTTTACAATGGTAACCATAGTTTACAGCTAATTTGAAGTTAAAATGATAGTGTTATATCTAGAGCTTAGATTTTTAATATACCGTGTATAACTTGAGCACTGAATTGCTAGAACCCTTTAAGTCGCAAATGAGAAGACAAAAGGCAAGTGAAAGGAATGCTATTCCAAACAAAGTCAAATATGGTACAAAACTCTCAGGCATTTGTAGTCATCCAATCCGCATACAGAGGGTTTTAGCATTCTTCCAATAGGGAAGCTACACGTAGAGATTCTGAAATATTCTTCCAAAAGATGATTGGATGGGATATCTTCGGCTCTTTCTGAGCTTCTTAGAGCTTCCTTGAGTTCATCCATGGGCCGTCTTCACAGTAACAGCTGAACTTGAATAATCTTTTAAAATAATTGAATGCCATGGACTACCTATATATAAGTAATATGTTTTTCTTTGAATATGAATTAAGTTACTGGATCACACTTACACATAGATTATATCCATTTGGTTTCTTGCCATACAAATAACTATTTTTTATTTTTTATTCACATGTTAAACTTACAAGCGTTGTATAATTTTGATAGGTAGTTCGTGAAAAAGTATTGACTTTGACGTTGGATTTTACCTCGAACTAGCAGCAACTGCTAGTTTTGAAACTTCTCATCTGTATGTACTGACTACCTAACAAGGGATACAACCTGGGACATTCGTTTAGCATAACATTGGATTGTACTTTCATATTCTCAGGAATGTAATATTCTTAGTTATACAAATCTAACCAGCAGCGTCTGTAAATCCAATCTGAATGTAAAAATGAGTATTAAAATGTTTTGAATCTAATGTTTAAATTTTAAATAAGTCTCCATATGTCTTTAGTGATTGTCTTTTTCTTTGGGCCGAACCAAACCATTTTAGTTTCACACACAACAGTTAGCAACCAATCAATTAGTAATATAAAACAATAACCTTTGAAAACTAATATTTTAAGGTTTTGTGACTAACCATAGAATGGATTTCTTAAAGTAAGTCGTAATGTACCGAGCCAACCAAGTCAATGATCAGAAAGTTTCAACCATGATTATTTTGTTGTATCAAAAACTATTTAGTATATTTACAAATCCATATAAAACTAATATATGAAGTTGATAATCATTATATGTTTTAAAAATTATAAAATTTCGACGGTTTATAGAGAAAAAAGTATTTCTGAAATACTTGAAGATCAATCGATAATTTAATTATATTTGGTAACAAGGGAAATAAGTAAACGACTGCTCACTTTATTATTTGATAATACCAAGATAAAAATTTATCCCAAGGATATTCAGAAGAAAATGATTGCTGTAAAAGTAAACAGATAAATAATATATACGTAACATTTATATAGTATAATCCATGAAAAAACGATCGAAATATTCATCAGGAGAACGCATTATATTATGGCAATTATCTTACAACCAATTTTGACTATGGTTAATTTTGGTTAAACCCTTTATATTAACTTACTTAACAGATAATGTTATTAGAACAGTAGCAATTCGCATATTTATTTGTATTGTTATGATCACTAGATTACATGACAGACTCTAGTTAAAATGTTGATCGCTTAAATATCACTCGATGATTCATTCTCCTCCCCATGTATACATATGTACTCAAATCCTAATATTCGCTTTAGTTTTACCTTGCTGTGCCCTTATTCTATTTGACCATAAATTTGCTTCTGTATTTTCTCAAATATGCATATTCGCTTGATGTGCTTATAGCTTTGAGATCTGCACTATTCGCTTGTAACGGGGTTAAGATCACCACTATACATGATGATCTTAACCCCGTTACAACTATAGTTGACGCTTCCCATTGCCTTCTGATTTCAAACACCATATATTATAACGGTTACAGGGGTGATTGAGCAACAAAGCAAAGACACCACAATACATTTTATGGATTGATTTGTTCTTCCTCCTCGTAAACATGTTGTTGATATTAAAAACCAAATTAGTCAAATGTTACACTAGTATCACATTTGCAAAAAATGTATTCAACTACAAACTGGTCTAATTAAAATACTTTTAGTTTAAAGAATTATTTGATTTTATTATTTTGGTTCCTGTTAAAATGGTGCAAATACAACTACCACAATCACAGTGTGGAGATTGTGAGAAAAGCTTTTACCTGGTATGTTGAATATATTTTCAATATTAAAATATTGATAAATGAACGAGGAATTTTTTTCAATACACTTTTCATGGTCATTCTGATCATTCAACTTACGATTTCATTTAAAACACAAACTCATTCAAATTAATAGTTGAGATCATGAGTCAATTGAAGATAGACCACCATGGAAAACCTATAAGCACTGCACTGCCGTTTCGTCCTATTTTGGGATTATTCAACAGTGTGCATCCACGATCCCTTGAGCGAGATTTGAAAACAAGACCTATCGGTCTCGGGCGTGAACACTTAGCGTCTAGACCACTGAGCCGGCCGGCGTCTAACGGTGTTAATGTTTAACTTCAACTAATCCAGGAAATTGAGCGACGCATCCACCATTGTCTACAGTAAGTTACTATCTCACAACAGACCCGGTTGAGCTCATTCAAATTAGTTGATTCAACACTAAAAAATTTGTTCTATTTTGCAAGTAACCTTAGATTCAATATGATATGATCTTAAACGGTATATTTTGTCTTAAGCATGACCAGTTTTCGGATTATTGATATGAATATATAAGTATAAGTAAGTCTCTTAGATGATCTTAAAGTAGTGTATTCACTTTCAATTTATGAGCTGAACAACATACAAAATTGCACCAGTATGGAACTTAACAAAGTAGCCCAGTGGTTCTCAAAATAGCAGTTAGAGCTTAACACGGCTAAATATGGATGGATTTGTTTCGGTAATAAATCACTTAACTTCAATCTTAACATAAATGATAAGGTGTTATCTAAGTTAGATTCAGTAGTAGACTTGAGAATTAAGGACTTTTAGTGGCCCTAAATCTGACTCCAGGTGGATGGTATGAATGATAGTTATCGAATGATTGTTATCGAAATATTCATATCATAAATCCTATGTGTAATCATATGCTTAGATCGCGTTAGTGAATAACGTAATTAAATAAATTTCGATAATGCAATGAGAAGACGAGGTTTATCAGAATTGTGATACATTTGCGCAATACATTTCGAACAATCGGATCACACATATACTTGTTAAGAACATTTATACATGAAAAGTAGAGGGTCAACTAGACAGGTTAAGGGTAAGTCATAACACAGGAAAAAATATTGAAGTACACAAAAACAACTGTGAATACCACTCTGGATAGGGTAGGTTAAGTGTAAGGACAAATTGTTTTTAAACACATAAAGGGGGTTTCAATTTTCGTATAGCCAAGGCTCCAATAAACCTTGGTATACGTCCTTGAGGGCTTTTGTACAACACAACAAATGCTGATTTGATATCAACCTTATGACCCGTCTCAATCAAATGTTTCGCAATGGATGATGATGTCTGTCTATCCTGTGATCTCATTTCACCATTGGAATTCATCTGATTCTGCAACCATTTTGGTATATGTTCACCCACCCTTAATTGCAAATCACGATTGCTCCTCCCTATGTACGTGTTTCCACACATACATGTAAACTAAATAAGTCAAATACGAGGATTGGCGACATGTATATTTCATTAACAGTCATTTAGGCAGTCTAAACAGAGTCAGATTAAGGGCCACTAAAGACTTATAATTTGTCCTTCACAGAACACGTCTCGAAACAAGCCTTTAATTCTTGACATCGTATGGGTTGTATAATTTGTAACCTCTATAACAGAGATTCAATTATTTTGATGTATAGATTATGTGTTAGACCACTCCTAGAATACTGCACGTTTATTCTTAGTAGTGTGCAGTTGAAGGATAAGTTCAGGTTGGAATCCACTTAGAAACGATTTAAACTTCGCATTGTAAGTCTAGATGTAATTAACTTTGAACCGCACCCTTTATGGAAGAAGTAACTCAAATTAAGTCTAATCTTTTTTTCGAAATACTCCATAAAATATTCTTTACATACAGTGAAGTAATTTAATGTGCAGAAACCAAATGTAGCAGTAGTTAAGTGTTTTCCGGTTTAAAACTACTGACAAAGTAATTTTTTGTAACATTTTAGTCATCACGTCTTTTTGTACGGATGTAAATATAAATAACTAATACAATAAGATCAGCCAAGCAGAAATCGTAAGAGATGCAAGACCAAATAGTAATTGTTAGTAAATGATTTACTACGTAGGCCAATTTGATTTACTTGATCAGAGAACTTTTACAAGGATGTGAAAGTAATAAAATCAAGTAACTTAACATCCTAATTAGATTTGAACTAATCATCAACGAACTGTTGGTTCAATAGCCGCATGTTCGATTTGTAAAATTAGATTTCTGAAGGAGCAATATTTTAATTATTCAAGAGATTGGTTGCATCATACTGTAGGATAGAGGATTAGATTATAAATTTAGAAACCACTACTTTGAATACAATTCTAACATATGCTTATTAAGGATCTTACCATTCCCCCCCCTTAAATTACATATTTGGCTAGCATGTTGATTTGCCTATAAATTTTCATTCAATTTCGAAACTCCAGAGAATTACCAACTTACCAGTTACTCATATTCTGTTCAAGATTTTGAAATCATACAAGACACGATCAATAAAAAACAAGCTATCTCATTTATACTATATGGTAATAAAAAGTTAATTAGCGTTTTTAGCGTTTCAAAAACAACTTTATTTATCCAACACAGAATCTTTTAAAACTATGGCTATGAATGCGATTCAACTGTTTAATGGAAATATCAGTATTTAGCGATTTTAGAAATGTTTATTACGTTTTTAAACTTGAGAGATATACACCATTTCTAATTCATTCTATTCAATTTAATATAAAAGTTATCACATATTTTAATAAATTGTTTTAAATAAACACTTCAGAACTAATGTAATCAAAAAAAGGTAACGTTTAAAGTAACTACAGTACACTGAACATAATATTGTTTGAAAAAAATTAATTTAGGCGTTATCTAAATGTGGACTCTTCGCGTAATTTTCAATTTGTCAGTTGATAGAACAATGAAACTAGAAAACAATGTTGTCCTGTAAATCAGTGACATCAATAGAAACAAGTTTTTTTGTCTTTTCACTACAGTAACAATTTTGTATACACAAATTGTATTAAACTAACTGTAAGATAATATTTTGCATGTATTTAAAAGAGATAATTTAAGAATATTGTGGAATTCTAATAGATCTGTCGATTAATGGTACGTTCTATAACTATTTATCTTCAGTGGATCAATATTCTATCGCTATTTCAATAGAATCCCAAGACAGAGTAAATCAGAGAATCCTGGTTATCAGTCTATGCTCCACGATGAATAACAGGCGTAAGTAAGTAATTTCAGCAGAATGAATATAAAGCAATGGAAATGAATAACGGTTTAATATTCTCGAGAAACCAATACAAATCTTGTACCATTTCTGGTTCACATGGTAAGTGAAAGACTAATGTAGCGGGACTATCATTATTAATTGAACTATTCATTTAGTCAAGTTCGATTTGACTTAATTCCATCTTACAATACGATACTAATAGTAGTGATAATGGGTTTGTACAGTATTGTAGAGAAATTCGATAATTTGATGAATGAACGAGGTTTGTACTTGTCAAAACGAATGAATAGAATATCGATCGATAAATGGTGTGAAATGATACTATTTACCCTAATGAATGGTGGCTTACGAGACCCAAACTCCCGGATGAACTGATATAAGAAACAAAGCCACTAGCTAACAGAATAGGATTAATGTTTAATAAAACAATATGTTTATATATAAATAGTTAACGGAAAACGAAGCATCATTATTTATCACAGGATATTACAAATATATTATTTATTTATGAATAAAATTAAATTAGTTCGAACGTGCTGTACATACAGTACAACCAAAAATGACCGAAATGACTGTTTAAATCTATTTAATTTATAATTATGCAGTATACTGTATAGAAAAGCTTGTAAGTAGGTGTTAGAGAAATAATGTTTCTAAATATAAATATTGCATCGTATATCATTTGAATAAATTACCTCAAATAATTTGATTTCAAAATAAAAACAAGTCATTAGTAATGATTACTATTGTTATATCCTAGCGAAGATTAAATTACGAGTAACTTCTGAGACCTTTTAATGGACTAGTATTATCTATATATTCTTATGGTATAACTATTCGGTAATTAGATTGTGTATATTTATATTCATCTTATTATAAGCTTCATTTTGACCTATCGATTATTATTATACGATTTACTGTTCTTCAGTTATGTTCAGTTTATTAGTTACAGTCTCCCACGTTCACAGCCACATTTTGACTTTATTGTGTATGAATGTTATTTCTTATTTTATGGTGCGTTGCGGTCTGTTTGGTTGATATATAAACCCAGTATGTCTGAAATAAATGATTCGCATAGTAGAGGCTGTTGTTGGCATTCTCGACTCAACTGGGTGGGTTAGGCGAATAACGGACCGAAAGGACGCTAGGCTGATTAGACCTAACGGACGCCATTGGTTTAATAAAGTACAAGGGCTAAAAAGTCGTATTTTGATTGGTGAATAAATTACGTGATAACCAGCGAGCCATAAATACACAACCATGATAAATAGTAATATATTTGTGATACTTCAAAGAGTAAAACCTCGAAATTCCGATATTCCACAACTTGGTTTAAATCATGTTCCAAGAGTAAATGAATAAATAACGCAATTAAACCAACTCAAGTTTATATAGTAAAAAGGAACAAACCAGAATGTTTAGTTCAGTCAAAATCAAAATAGGTCTGATTATGTCAGTGGTATATGATTTTCATTTAGGTGATTTTATACGGGACATTAATACGTGTGTTTGAATGTATTAAAAAATATTGTTTTTCTTAGATAAACAAAAAAACATACTTTACTTGACTTGTCAAGATCGTCGTGATACTTGGTTTTAAGAAATTCTTGACATTGAAAAATAGAAAATTCCATAATTTCATCTGGAATTTCAAAATTGTTCAACAAATCGCTTGGTGGTAAATCTGAAATAAGCGGAAAAAAAGTAAAAAAAAAACTGAATTATATAACTTTAACAAAGTTGCTCGATAACTCACGTACAATTGTGTACGAAATACGATTAACTAGATGTGGACTATCCTAACAGTGTAAAAATACCAGTCATATCGAATGAAATTGTTGACATTTCTACATAACTTATAACAACAACGGATCATTCGAAAGTTAGATGTTATTTGTAATAAACTGTGTTACAGGTTATATGTAGTACTCAGATAAAGTATATTATTTAACTATAACACAATGAGAGTTAACTGAATTGATTAAAGTCAATACGTTATTATTAAAACACTCAATAAAGTAGTTTATCTTTGAAAAAAAAAACAGTTAAATTAATTCGTTTAATTATAAAAAAAATACGAATCTTTCGTCGTCAGAGTACGTACGGTACAGTTGAATTTTTCATTTACAACATCAGTCAAATAGTACGTATACCATTGATAGAAGTGCCATGTATTAGGATGAGTACACTTTTAAAGTTTAACATTTTACACTTCATATAAATAGCACAAAAGATCAGTATTTTAATAGATAAAAAGGTTAATATATATCAGTTGAAAGATGAGTTTGTTTAAGTAAATAGTTTTTAATGATGAAACTCTTGAATAATAACTATTCATTAATCTGACATTTAACCATACACTATTGTTATTTATTGATTGAATTAGAAAGTTGCCAGATAAAATTCATCTTTATTTGTTTTTTGTTAACAAACAGAAATTGTTCTTGTATATTGTTTACTCAATTTTAGTTATACATGATTTTTATTTTATGTAAAAAGTAACTGTGTATGTTTTCCATGGAAGAAAAAGACTTAAACGCATTTTATTTTTAGATTTCGAAGTCTAATAAAAAGACGGTAAAAGTGTAATTAATCTATTAATCATCCATATAAATATCACTAGTATAGGGTTGTGGAGATTATTAAGTTTTTGATTGAGATCATGAACCGATTGATATTAGACCACCGTTGGAAACCTGGAAGCACTGGATGGCCGTTTCGTCCTATTGTGGGACTGCTCAGCAGTGCGCATCCACGATCCCGCCCTCCTCACGAAATTCGAATCCAGGGCCTTCAGTCTCGCGCACGAACGCCTAACCTACTGAACCACTGATCCGGCATCCAACGGTGTTAATGTCTAGCCTCAACCAATCCACGAAATTGCTCAACCATCTTCCATTGTACTGAGATAGATACCTGTTTCTAACCGATATGGATTAGCTCCACTAGTCACGGCTTCTCACTAGAACTCCAAGAATTCCCTCACGAAGCTAGTCACTAGTGAGCACGTGTTAATTACGGGCGTAGGGGTTATGAAGATTGTTAAGTCTTGATTGAGATCATGAACCGATTGATGTTAGACCACTTTTGGAAACCTGGAAGCACTGGATGGCCGTTTCGCGGTACGCATCCACGATCAGTATGTAAGTAATTAGATAACTTACAATGAATAGACATTTTAAGTATGAGATCAAATACTTTCGGCAAGATGAAAGTAACTTTATCATCTTTGTTATGTATGTTTAAAATTTCAACATAAAATCCTTAAATTTGTTGTAGAACAATATGGAATATGATATTGTCTTTCTGATATATCAGACACATTTACTTTGTATAGGATGCATAAAAAATGAAACCACACTAAGAGTTTTGTTAATATAAGTCTAACTACAGATGAGCAAATCATTTTCAAATTATCTCTATTCTAAGATCTAAGGTTTTAAAGGAATGTATGTTAAATATTTAATAAAATAACAGATAGTCTTTAAAATTGTCGAAAATATTTGCTCAACCGTTAATCAAAATTAATAAAGAAATACTTGAAATACAATGAAGCTTTATTGATTGAATTCAGAATATGTTAAATATACATCTAAGAGGTAATCTATGAGAAGGTATTCACAAATTTTCTACCGAGTTTGTTCTCATCAAACATATTAATCCGTAACAAATACAACTTTTTATTATACAGTATGCATAAAAGTGTAAATCTTTCAAATCTAAGGGAAACATTTTATACGAGATTATGATTGTAACTTTTAAGCATATCCAAAAAAAAACAAATTAATTGATGCATTAGACAATTTTCCCCTAGTAACTAACAATTCGAATTCATGTATTGAATTTCTTATATTAGTACGAAGGTTAAGTTGTTAAATATCTAAGTTTAAACGTTTCAAAAACAATAAGATCCCCATTATTGTCTCGATTTCTAAACACATTAAACTGATCTAATTATAATACTAAAAACAATCAAGAGAAGTTATTATAAAATACTAATATATACTCATCAAATGTGATTGGTTTACTTCAAAGATATTGGAGACAACCATGATAATATGTTTACTTTAAAAAAATCTTCATAAGATATAGACAGTTATTAAAAATTGTTGATAAGTGAAAAATCATCCAAGGATCTTATCAAATCGATAAACTCACTTATATTCCAAACTTTTTTATAGGATATTGTGTTATTTAAAAAAGATAAAGTATTATCTCTGGATAAATCAATATTTGGGTAACTTTCAATTTCCAGAACGTTAGAATCCTTTGTATCATTTACATTTTCATTAGTCTCACCTAAATTATTCATATCACAAACATTTTTAGGATTGGATTGAATTATAACTGAATCTAATTGATGAACATCAGAAATTAGATTTGCAATCATTTTTACGATGGATATACATGCTGTTAATCTAAAATCATCTACGGTAGGAAAACAATGTAAATGTGAAAGTTAATAATAATAAAATAGATAATCAGTATTTAGTGTAGTCGAAATGAGTTTAGTGTGAGACTATAATTTGTGGACGACCTGTGAATGATGCTATGGTGACTTTGAGAATGTTCACCTACTTATGAGGGCTAAATCAGAGTTATAAACCAGTGTTAAGAATTAGGATTATAATTTATAGGGTTATGAATTAGATTTAGAGTTTTCATCCCGAACTGATATCAGCTAAAATGACAAAAGCCATTTAGCAAAATGGATGAGTGAATTTCGCGCCAAAATCCAAGACCTATTATCCTAACTCTGATTGGCTCGTCTGTAAGTCATAGTCTCACTGCGCTTAGCTATTGAACCCAGCGCACCTATCCGTATGTACTATAACTTACAAGTAAAGGTATTATTGAGACAATCGGTTAAGAATGCATATATGTTAAAAGACTGGTCAAATCCAATCCACAATGTCAACGAAGAGACAACTTGTATATATATATATATATATATATATATATATATATATATATATATATGTTGGGTTCTTAGTTTAGAAGTTAGGCGACTTCCATTTTATCAGATATAATTTGTGTGACTTATTTAGAAAAAAACTCACTAACTTATCAAAATTAACTAATTCAATGGACATTAGATCCAGCGGGTATATCGAAAAGTTTTTTTAGGTTGAATTTAACCATCCATGCCACGGTAGTATCAAATTTTACCAACAATGATTATCTTATGAAATGTAAATATTTACTGATTGGTTTCCGTCGCTACCTAATTTGGCAATGTACGAACTGAGACATGAAACTTAATATTGACCATTGTTCTGAAGAAAGTATGGTTCTTAATCTCTTATTTAGAAGGCAGTCATGCATAAATTTCTGAGACTAATATAGAATAAACAGTTACGCTTTAGATTTCCAAAAATATCTTCAAACTACTAAGTTGAAATCTATTGTCTTATATTTCCAGCTATAGTCATTTAACGTGAAGATCATATGAACAACAAAGATTTACGCTTAGTTAATGGTTTGAAAAATAAACTAATACGTGAATAATATTTTTAAAGGTAGATTAATATGTCGTTGACTTGTTGATAAATCATAACTTTTGATGGAATGGTACATTCTTAATAGGACTTACTTATAAAGGATTGCCGATCATCTTCTTCACTGATGATAAAACAACGCGGGAAAAAGTAATCAGCATTACAGTCAGCAAACCATCTTATTTGACGTAATTGTCTGCATAGTCCAACCTAAATTAGATCGATAATACCATAAAGTTATACAGAATTATCACTACTATAGGAAGTTTGTGAATATTTTTGAATTTTATGGTTAAATTCATGGACTTACATTAGTGAAACAACTAATGAAAACCAGGAAGTATTGAATGTCAGCTTGGTGGTCTAAAGGTTTATAACTCGAGCCCGAAATTAAAGGTCCTCCGTCCCATCCTCAGTGAAGCAATCGTGAGTGCATATTTCAGAGGAGTCCCATATTAGGACAAAATTGCTGTCTATTTTTCCTCAACTTTCAATAGTTGTCTAACTAAGGTCAGTCCCTGATGTTAACTATAAAAATCAAATTGTTATTTAAAAGGTATAATGAAATGTTCAGCATACTAAACAAATTAAACGAGAGTAAGATTTCAATAAGTCTATTAATGAGAAGTAATAACTTCATTGGCAATAATAATTAATACTGGCTCTTAATTACAATAATTCTTTTCATTTTCAGGATGGATTGAAGAATACTGATCGAGCCGAAACACTTCTTACTTTAATTTATCATCAGCCCATAAATTCATATATAATCTCAAATCATTCGACCCACACTTTCTTAATATAGAATGTACATATTTGACAAATCCGTTTAAACTATTTGAATCTGAATATTTATTCACAAATAAATTTTCAAGAAGCAGACTTTTAAAATGTCAGAGTTATTTAAAGTGATTTTGTAGAGATTTCATAATATTCCAATGTGGTTTTCCACCATGAACTAACAACAACTGAAAAATTACTTGATATCACTAGGCGGCTGACAAGTCCTAATTTTCACCACTGATTAGTATAAATCAACGTTTTCATATAGGATTTGATCTAATGTATTCAAGTCTTGAGATAATTTAGATATTAATCAATCACTTAATCAAAGTTCGATCGTGCATATTTCCAATTTTATTTAGTTAATAATATTGTGCGATCAACATCCCGATAATAAAACTGAATAGCTACTTAGTTCTAGTTATCTCTCTGAATTTATGTAGCCAATTCGATCTAATTTAAAAATTCCTTGAAATGTATAAATATTTATCCGTGAAAAGACACTGTAAACCAGATTGATTTACTGCTTGTTTTAAAATTATACTTAATACATGATTAATTTTTGCTTCTGTCATATCCCGATGACAATAATGAATAGTTACTGTTAGAATCCATTTCTGGACTAATACTATACATATGTTTTTATCGTATAATTGTTAAGTAACTAAACCACTCATATTCGTGTTCCTCTTATCATAAGTTTTATTTTGACCTATGAACTATCATTATACGATTTACCATTCTTGAGTTATACCCAGTCTATAAATTACTATCTCCCACATTCACAGCCACTTTGGGCTATATCTTGTACAAATGTTATTTTCTATTTTATGGCACGATGTAGTCTGTTTATTCTGTATATAAACCCAGTATGTCTGAAATACATGATTCATATCGCAGAGGCTGGGGTTGAGGTTCTGGAATTAACAGGCAGGACTAGGCGGGAAGCTGGACCGGTAAAGACTCTAGACTGCTAGTACGGGTTTTATGCGTCATTGGTTCGGTCGATAATTCACTGTTCTCTAATCGGGGTTATCAATACATTATACATTATTAGGGCACAAACCTACAAGTTATATCAGTTTCAATAGAAATATCTAGGTAAAACCGAATAAAATGTAATGATAATGAAAAATAATAAATAAATGAGTGAATAGAAATAGAATCTCAAGTAAAATATGTAATAAAATGAGTTATGAACTTATTAACTTTGTATTTACGGTTTATGATTATTGGGTGTTCATATTTTAAAATATCCATTTCATTAATGATAATAAATAGGTACTTTCTTTGTCTATTGAACACTTTAACAAAAGCTCATTTAAAGAAAATACTCAAAAACAAATCAAAGTCAATAGCTAATTTCTAGTATTAAGATTTAAATAATAAATGAATAAATGTATATTGCTGCACTTTGTCAGTGGTCATCGATACTAAATAATAGAAAAAAAATTACATGGAAATAAATTCGATAAAATTATTTTTACTCAAAATGAATAGTTTTCATTACCTTACATTTAATTGAGTAAAAATTGGGTGTGCCATAAATCTCATTATTTTTTTTGGCTTATTTTTTTTAATGATCATTTTGCAGGATTGTTTTTCCTTTTTGCTGCAAGTTTATCTCTCTTTTTGTTGTTTAATTCAAATCGTCGTTCAGTAGTTCACTCATTAATAATTTTGAAATATGTTGAGGAATTTCAGTTCATTTTTACTTCTTTACACGATATTGATTATCGTATATCAAAAGTAAATTTCTTAATACAGGAAACTAGTTTATAAAGAATATTTTTCATGTTTATTAAGAAATTCCAAGTAATACAGCCTCCAAATGCCTTGGTACGGCTGAGGATGGCGAGGGTTTGCTCTCCCTCTCGAAATGCTTTCACATGGCCATGCGTATATAGCCACTGCCATGGAAGTCCTGCTCTCTGCCTTCTCACTGCAGAGGTGCTGTTTACAAAATTGAGAGGATGAAAAGCGAATGTCAGGCGCTTTAACTGGGTTGGTGGATAGGGAGGATCCACCTAGAGTAGTCGGAAAACCCTGGCTTCAAACCAGTGGTGCACATGGGTTCCAGGATCCTAAGGAAACAAATGGCGTATGAACCTATTGTTGGTAGTCGGCTACCATGGGACTGCATCTCCTTACGTTGCTTCACTGCCTTGCCAATCAGACCTTTAGGTCGAATGCTCTAGCTGTGGCCCCTAAGGAAACGATCTGCTTCGGTCTGTGCACCAGGGCAGCATCATAGCCCACACGCGAATCAAGTGACTTGTGTGGCGCATATGTATTCGATGCCCCTTTGTACCAATATGTTCAAATAAATAAATGAAATACTGAAAAAAAAGTGATGAGAAGATAATACACTTGAATGAAAATGTAAACATTACTATAAATTAGAATTTAATACATGATTATCAGAGATTTTAAGAATGAGCATTTCACATAGATCCAGTATTGTTTTAACATTATCCACTTACAGATTAACCAGATCTTTAGAAAAAAATGTTGAACACTAAAACTCAATGAAAAGTACCAGATAAATGAATAACTAAATAATTATTTACCTTAGTTGTAAATGGTGCACCACTGTGATGATTAATGATTTGATCTTTCTGAAGGTTTTGAAAATCAACTTGATTTTTACGTAATGACCAAATAAATCTTGGCAACTCTGAACGAACCATACGTGACTACAACGGTATAAAAATATATTTTAAAAATTAAAATTTATATTTTTCGTTACAAGGATAAAAATATATAAACAATTATCTTTGAAATCATCAACCTATTTAGGTTAGACGACCATTAAAAACTTAGGAACATTTCACTGCAACCAGAAATCGGACCCAGAACACTCAACCTCGTGAGCAGACGATCAAGCTCTAAACCACTAAGCGGGGATCCAATAGCTTAAGAGTCTAACTTCAATTAATTCATGATATTTTGCGACTATCTTCCATTGTCTTAAGTGGATACCACCCCCACACCCGACACGTTCTAGCTCCACTAGTTACTGAATGCGTACTTTCGGGTATTCTCGTATTGGGGAAAAACGGACACAGTACTTCTAGACTTTCGACGGTTGTCTAAGTTAGATAAGCTCATGATTCCAGTGACATTCAACAATCTCTACAACCCTATGCTGACAATAAGCAGTTATGTCTAGTTCAAAAATGGATTGCTTATCATACATTACACCCATCATTTTATAGTTTTAATGTTATTATGAAGCATTGGTGTAGTAGTAGTTAAGGAACACAACTTCCATTCACCAAGTCACTAGTTCGAACTCCGTTCTAACTTCCCTTGTTTTATCAATTAAATAATATAAATAGTAATCATATGAAAATTATAAATCATAGATTTTTTCATAGATTAATACTTGACTACTAAAATGAACCACAGAGGTTTTTTTTCACTCTGCAAACCGTCTCATTTACAACCCTTCGTAATCTTAACAAAATTAACACATAGATATAAAGTTCACTCGTTATATATAATCTCAACATAATTTTATGCTTTAAATTGTAGAAGGCTGTTTTCATCGCTTGAAAGGCATAGTTTTATATTCAGCATGAAAACAGTTTGAAGACAATAGTAAAAATAATATGCTTCTTATAGGTGATGTATGTTTATGTCTCTAAAATCATCAAAAATATTCAGCTTTTTATCAAGGAATTTTAATATTTTCAATGAATTCAATCAAAATTAAACTTGAATAAGATTTAATCAAGTCATTATCTCATAGATATTAATTTCCTTATAGAACTTCAATTCTGAATTCATGAAATCTATGTCGGTAATGATTTATACTTAAGTTTGAATAGAATATTGTTATGATTTTTCATGATGTTATCACCGAAAAACCCATTCATTGTTCAGTTTCTAATGAATTATGCGTATTACTTAGTAGCTAATACATCAAATTAATTATTATTAGCAGTATTGTATTAAAAGATTATTGCATTTCTGGAGTTGTTTTAGCTTTAATTGTATGGTACTTCAATTAAAATTCAATGAATAACAAATTGTGTACTTACAATATTTCTGAAATATAGCAAATGTAGTTTTATTTGGATGTCATCAGTGTAACTATCTAGCTATTTATACTGAATTTTATTTGTTCTCTATCCTTCTCCCTCTCTCTCTATAGAAAACAACTTATCTATGAACAAAATTTAGCTTCAAGGTTTTCAACTGCCAATTTTTCATTTAATTAATGGTACATATTTAACAAGTTGTGGTGCCGGCTGATCTGACTCCAATTTGAAAGAACGTATGAATATTCTATGAATGCAAATCTCCTATTTAACTCCGTGCACTACCTAAGCTAACCCCTTTTTATGACGGTGGTAATCAGGAGCCAAATACGGGTGGCATTTTAGGAATTTAGTTCAATCATTTGTTTATGCAGACAGAGATTCAAAATAAGAAGCTACAAAGTGAAGAGGGATAGAAGAGAAACAAAACGAATCGGGGTTGGCTCACACGCCTTCTTTGATCCATTTTGCTTCGCTCCCTCTCCTCTTTGCTTCGTTTCTCTGATCGTCTGTTTGGACCAACGATTGTATATTTAAAAAGCAATCATCCATACGATCATCACACGGTCGAACTAGAGTCAGATACACGAGGGCCACTAAAAAGCAGTCAAACTGTTTTTTTTTAAAAACATATCAACCTTTTAGGTAAATAATCTTTGATAAGTTTAAGCTAATACTCGTTTATTTCAAAATAAGTATGATCTCTATCAATCTGCAGTGATTAGGTTTAATAAAATGTACTGGGTTCAACCTTCTATGTGTGATTTTAATCTTGAATATTTACGAAAGATTTTTAAGGAAGTGAACTACATTGTTTCATGGATAAAATTACTTTTCCTCTGACCACTTCATTCCTGATACTGAACAATAGTTAGTATTTACGCGTTTCATGGAATTATCATTTACAATATGCTTTTTAATAATAATAATAATAATTACTATTATTTTTGAGATGTAATAACAAAGAAACAAAAGTACAAAGAAAAATTTCACTTTTTAATAATGCTACATTCTCTGAATTGGATGATTTAGATTTTCAAGTTTCCATTGTCTTTCATAAAGACAAACTTCAAAGAGAATCTAACCGTTAAAATCTATTCGAACTATGTACTGATAATGCTCTCTACAAAGATATTGAAGATTTCTGCAATTAAATCATACAACTCACAGTGTAACATCTTCAAAATCTTCTTTATTAGCTATGTCTTTCCTATGCCTTTAAAAATATCACTTTTTTACAGTAACTATAAACAGAGTTATTTTAAGATAGTTTTTTTTATAATTAACCCAACAAACCTCCTAAATGAGATTTAGTCTCATATCTGAATAACATCCAAATCCAAATTATGAAATAATATCCAAGAAAAGACAAGAATAAAATATTTTTAAGCAATCAAAGTCAGTACAAATCAGAAGCTATGGACGTTTGCTTAAACGTTTTGGTCTACCTACATTCAGAATGTATGTATATCAGTATCAGCACCCCAGTTTTAGATTTCTTGGAACTATATGACCATGAATCCCCACTACGTGTATTCGTTCGTATTTTTAGAGCTTATAGTCAATCCTGATGCTGAGTACTGGATAATGTAAAATAAGACACTGCACTTGTTGACATATTTTCCTCTCTGTCTACCCCTTAAAGTAAACAAGACGACTACATTACAATTCATGTTTTCAATGTCCAGTGGTTAAAAAATATTTGTTGCATCTGAACTGATATTAAGCTTTCCTTATTGAAGAAAACTGAAGGATAATAACTTTTGAAAAGACATTAATGAAATAGGATTTTCGAGTCATTACAATTTAAATATGTATTAAAGAGAAATTTACTATTATATTACTCAACTGGTGCTGAAAATCCTTTACTGTAACAAAATACATCATTATTGGTCATCAAAATAATGGATGTTTTAATATAAAAGTTGTTATCTACTTACTAGTATATCTTATCACAATGAGTTATTAAAAATTACTAGTTTAGTCGGGAAACGGACCTCACTGTCGGGGTTTAAGATGTTCAACAACCCCATGGTTTATAGATCCATTAGTAGAATACTACATGCACCCATTTTTTTAATGCAGTCTTTTTTGCAAATACATACGTTATTGGTCTTAGCACAACAAATTTTAGGGACAAAATCACTTTAATCATATTTAACTAATTCTATTCTCATTAAAATAAAGTCACACCTACCAATAATCCATAGTATCCACTATCTTCTTCCCACGGTTGAACACGTTGTTTTTCTGTTAGATTTAATGCATTGTAGTGAAGTAAATATTTAGAAATACCAAATATTAACTAATTATTTAATTATCATTTTTCTATTGAATGTAAACACATTAAAACAAAAACAAAGTACAGGTTACGTCTGAAAACAAATATTTCGTGAGGCGTTCACCGGTATTCAAAATTAATCAGCTGATTTGACAATTGCATCTTATAAAAAACCTATTAGAATGTATAAATTAGGAGAATATTAAAGCTAAAATTGGAAGATTTATTATCTCACCAAAACACTAGTGAAATCAGATTTTATTAATTTAAGATAACATTCATCTTTCAGATATCTACGGTTAACAAATTACTGTGGTAAATTCTAACTTTTGATCTTAATCTGTTCAGGTAATTAGCTATTATATTATTTTGCATTAAATTAACTGTTATTTATACGGTTAGAACCAACAGTCAACTGTATAGCAATGTCATGAATACAATATATGGAAGCTGAATTTGATTCATAAATCTCTACGATCTAAAAAATTTCGTAAAGCGATGGGTCGTAAGTACTCTACTGGAAAATTCTAAACTACGAAGAAAATGTTGTCTAATGATCTTCAGTTTATGGTGTTTACCCTGTTGATTTCCATTCCTGATGAAAGATCATCTTCGCAAAAATTAAACTATGGTATACTTATCATATCTTCCAATATTTGTTCATTGGACTGCTTTTCTCAGTTAAGCGCTTGGTGTCATTTCAGTAAACTAGGAAAAATTTGAGTATAATTTCAATCATTCTTTTATAATGGGATAACGAAGTCATAGATTCCAAGCTATTTTAGACCCTAAGGCAAAGTACTCACTGATGAAAACTGCCTAAAATTATGAAAAGAAGCATACCCTCGTTCACAGCAGTCACATCATCATCTGAATCGCCATCTTCAGAATCTTCTAGTGTTGTATCATTCGAAGACGAATTGGAATTTCGTACAGTTTTTACATTAGCAATCGATCGGATAGTTTTCTTTGATTCCTGTGTAGTTTGTCCTGGTGGTCCAATATTGACATCAAATTTCTCAATCCATCCACGAGTTCGTAATGCTTTTCTGATACGATTATAAGGACCAAGAATAGAAAATATTTTTCGACTCTGTTTAATATGAACAGAAAATTAGCGAATTAATGTACGTATCATGTTCATCTTGCACAATAATCAAAACTGTAATTCAAGATACCGGTAAATCATGACTTTGTAAGTCATTCATACAAGTTTATTGCTTAATCAGTATTTTAAAGTAGCTTCGTGGTCGGAAAAAAACATGACATAGCACCGATAGTTTGGTGTATTTTACCAGTAACTGAAGCGCTTACTGTTTTTTTCTAAGTTGAACATTGGAAAGTGTACTTAACGAACGTTGATATTAACTTTCATCAATAAGATCAAACGGCGAGACCATAATCTATGGACGACCTTTGAACGAATCTTAAGTGACCTTGATAAATATTAACTAATCAGAAAACTGTGAGTATAAAGTAAAAATATATTATACAAAACCAAAGAATTAAATTGGATACATTTCTTTCACACGGTTCAAAAACGTGTCAAGCTTAGAAAGAGGTTCGGAGGTTCTGAAATCGTAATGCATACGGTAGAGGAACTCATCCATATGGCTCTATAATAGTCTGCCTCTTAAGCCATCCAAGCCTCATAGTATTATTCAGTAACAAGAAAATGTTCGATCTTGAAAATGAAATAAAATTTTATTCCATCTTGAGTTCATTTTATTTACATTCTTATGTCTCAACTTGTCAATTAAGGAAAAAACAGTGGATGTTTATTTTATTTCATACTGAATTTCAAGACATCCGATTAAATGATTTGATTTAATGTAATTCTTGTTGTTTATTCACTGATTTGACTAAAATGCATTACTGATATCTGATTTTTCTATTCCTATAATAATGTGAAATATGAGAACCTGAAATAATCCCTTTTTATCCGTAGAACAAAGACGTTATGTACTCGTACTGTCATATATTTCACAGACTGAAATCATGAGTCAATTGAAGCTAGACCACCATGGAAACCCTGGGAGCACTGGACGGCCGTTTCGTCGTAGTATGGGACTCCTCAGCAATGCGCATCCACGAACCCACACCCCGCGAGATTCGAACCCAGGACTTATCAGTCTCGCACCAGGCGCTTAACCAACTAGATCGCTGAGCCGGTATCCAATGGTGTTAATGTCTAACTTCAACCAATCCACGAAGTTGCGCCACCGTACACCATTTTCTTCAGTGAGCTGATATCTCACAACAGACCTGGTTGAACTCCACTGGTAATGGCTTCTCACTAGAACTCCAGGAGTATCCCTTGAAGTCAGTCACTACTGAGCAGATGATTATTATCAGAAGGGGTTTGTGAAGATTTTAGAAATTTCACAGACCGAAATCGTGAGGCAGTTGAAGCTAGACCGTCCAGTACTTCCAGGTTTTCCATGGCGGTCTAGCTTCAATTGACTCATAATTTCAGTCTGTGAAATTTCTAAAATCTCCACAAATCCCTTCTGATACTGTCACATATATCATTTTATATTATTCATTGAAGTAATCTTACTTGTAAAGAGCCATATATCATTATCAATAATTAAAAAACTAACCATATACTCAATGTTATATAATTTACACTGAACTCATTAACCGATCAATGCTAGACCGCCATCGAAAACTTGGAAGCACTAGTGAGCATATAATAATTATTCGTACAGACTTATGAGGATTGTTGAGTTTCACTCAAACCATGAACCGAGCAATATTAGACTACTATTGAAAACTTAGAAGCACTAGACAGTCATTTCGTTTTAGTATTGGGACATTGATTGGTTCATGATTTCAATGAAACTCAACAATCTGTAGAACAACTCTATACTAATTATTATATAATTTAAATAAAAATATTTTTTAAACAACAACAATAATACACATACTTTTATTGCTTCATCAACTTCATCTTTAGCTATTTTTAAACGTTCTGTTGATAACTGACAATTTTTTTCGATTGTATTAAATTGTACATTATTATGATTATTATAGTGACGCTCAGTTTTAATTCGTCGCAATAATTTATTTTCATTATTATTATTATTTATAATAGGAAAAGTAGATAGTTTTGAATGTGTAATTTGTGTAACTTCTTTTATTAATTCATTTTTATTAGATATTAATTTGTTAACATTTTCCACTGTTTCTAATGAATCATTTTCATGTATTTTTAATTTTTGTTCATTTAAACATTGAGTAGTAGTACTTGTTAAAGGTTCACTATTCATATGACCTGATAAATTCTCTTTTTCACATAAATTTGATTCAGTTAAACATGATAAATCTTCATTAATTTTATATCCATAGTTTTTATCTTTTGTTAAATTATTCTTTTCATTATTATTGATCGGCAAAGAATGAGAAGATGAATTATAACCTAGACTTGATGACTGAACATCTAAAATTTTAGCATAGAAAAAATTAATAAACAAATAACTAATAATTTAATAGGTGAATTCATGAGTCAATTGAATTTAGACCACCATGGAAAACCTGAAAGTACTGGACGGCCATTTCGTTCTATTATGGGACTACTCAGCAATGTGCATCCACGATTCCTCTCACGGGATTTATGCGTGAGACCAGTAGGTCCTGGGTTCAGATCTCACGAATGAGATTGTGCATGATCACTGCTGAGAGATCCGATACTGGGACGAAATGGCCGTCCAGTGCTTCCAGGTTTTTCATGGTGACCTAGCTTTAATTGACCCCTTCTGAAAATAATTAATAGTTTGATTAAAAATTACTGTAGTTCAAAAGTAATCTTATATAACCAATCTAAAGAGAAATCCGTATCAGAGGAAAAATTTGGGATGAATTTATAACTTTGAAATGATAAATTACAGGTAATATATACTTGCCAGTATTTAGTTATTTTGTATGTATGAACTATTAGCAAAAAGTAGTTTATTGATGTATATGTTAAAATCTTCCGTGTAACAGTATGTGACATTTTTAAAATTCTTTGTTCAGTCATATATTCATCTTATCTCTATAAAAACGTTTTTACTTACTAAGCAACATAAACCCACATTAATTCTCCTATTATTTAATAAGATTCTTATTAAGATGCTTAGTTGATACACATTGAATTCGTAATTATTTCACAGATACGAATTATTTATTATATTAGTGGTCATACTAGTAATGGAAATGAACTAACTTGGTTATCACTATTAGAATTTGATTTCACAACTCTATAAAACCCTAAGACCAAACATGATATCTATCTTTATGCTACTTGCAGAAAAATCAGTATTTGCTAAAGAAAATTTCAAATCAAGCTCACTTTGAACTGTAAAACTATTACTTATTGCGTAGAATGAAACTTGTTCAAGATTGTTCAACTTACCTGATATGACATCCTTTTCAGCCGAATTTGTATATTCTATTTTACAATATTCAATATTTTCCAAATTATCCTTTTTCTTTACATCATATGACTCACAAATGTTGCTTACATTTGCTTGAAAGTTAGTAACTAATGGAGTTAGTTTTTTCCGAAACAAAATTCTCATAAGATCATTAATTATATTAATATTAAAATGTTGTTTGTGCTTTTAACGAAACAAACCAATTGAAAATAAAATAGACCTGGAATTAGATGAAAATATTTCGAAACAGTTATTTATATTACCAATAACATTCAAACATGCCATTGTAAAAATCTTGTTTTTCATTACCATTGTTAAACAACTTATTCTATCCCATAAACTTAAGAGGTTTCCCTAATTGTTTAGTTGTGAAGATCACAATTTTATAATGGTCTGAGCCTCACTACAATACCAGCCTATAATATGAAATAAATCAAGTTGTTTTATTATGTACGGAACACTGTTAGGTGTTTTGTATGTCATGTTCGGTAGTTGAGTGGATTCAGAATAGTTTTTTAAGGATAAGTATAAAATGTTTAACCGAGAATTAAAAATTACATGATAACTTTAGAATACGTTGTTAGCAGTTCTAAATTACTTGCATATAAATGTGATCAATACAGTAAGTGATCAGTAGAATGTCATAAATCTAAGTTTTGTGTTAACTTATACTCGTCGTCAAGATATGTTTTCACCCAGTGAGTAGAATAAAACTTATGATTTGGCTAAACAGCCATAAATCTCGGTTAATTGTTTCTTAATAACTGCTTTTGAAAATCTAGAACCAAATAAATGCATAAGTCTTTAAAAAGTGGTTACATAAACTAAGCACAACTTTCTCACCTCAATAACGAAGTGTTAGCATATTTCAAATCATGGAATAGAATAAGCTCCTTTAATCCTGATAATTTTTAATCACTAGTAACTGACTTCATACAAAAATATAGTATATAAACTCACCAAATTTTCACTTCCGCACGGCATGCACATTAAAAGTCGACATAGAAATAACACTTCATAATAAATCTTTGCCGAATGTTTTACAAAAATCGGTCTCATTTATGTTAAAAGGAATAAGGGAATGATAACACTCCATTCTTCATTACCTGCAACATACATTTACTTAATAAACTGGGTATTATTTTAACATATATCCTCCAAGAATAACTTTGTAAAATCTTCGGATAGGTATTAAGTTGTGCTTTACTGTATTTTCAGAATAATAATACTTGACAGACGTTGCTTAACAAACTTGAACTACGGACATGTTCTCTAAGAGACTTATTTCTGACAGAATGAAAAGTTTTTCAACTAACTGAATTGTTGTGAATATCCATGTAATAATGCAATATAGTTGGGTAACTATAATAATATCCTTTTTTGCTTCAAGTGTTATTGGGAATTAGTGATACTTTTCATCTGCCAATAGAATGAGGTTTCTATGTAACAGAACAAGCAAACCACCCAAAAAGAAGCGTATTTGTTCTAGCTAGAAATATACCATCATGACCAAATCAGCAATAGGGGACCCGTGTGTTTGGTTGTCCTAAGCTACTGTATAATCGGAGCAAAAATAGACAGTAATAAATATTTCGTAAATCGATAATCAAATGTGTTTCAAAAATCACTGTAGTAACAGTTAAAACAGTTTGTATTGTTCGTTCTAAGTAATACTAAAGGTGATAGGTGAAATGACTGTGAGTTTTATCTTTCTAGTTATCAGTATTGACCAAGGTAGTTCAACAATTTTTGAAGAACCAATAGACCTTTAGAAACTTCATTTCGTATTGCTGCAACTCTATCCCTAAATAAAATTTAATGACAAATTTAAAGGAATGACAAAACAAAGGCTCAGGTGTTTTTTCTAAACTACTCCCATTTATCAGATATTGGATCATTAAAGTGAAACAAAGTTTGTTGTTTATTAAATGTATACTTAAAAAATTCACCTGAGGGATAAAATCAGTGGTTTCCTAAAACAATCAGAGCTCCAATATTTTATCACAAATTGGTGGATACACAGTGCTACTTACAACCATACATCAGGTAAATTACTGTTGTTTGTAGCTAGAGAACTCCAGTTTCGCACACTATTTATCGATCGACTTTTCTGAAATGGATTTTTAAGAATACATATTACGTCGTTTTGCATCTCATTGTTAATAAATCAGAATAGCTCGAAATTTTGGAACGCGTTGTATTGTCCCAAGGTTGCATGTTTTTGTGAATGGTTTAAGGTGGCGAATATGCAACAAGTCATTGGATCTTACCAAATCTGAAGCGAAATGTCGAAAAATACCCTACAGTGGTTTTGGCAGAATATGTACTCGACAATCATTGAACAGTGTTTATAAAATCTCTACAATAATTCATGACTAAAAATCGGTATAACACTATTTCGAAAAGCTTTTTGGTGTTTATGAAAGTTTTAATGAAAAGAAAAAGGCATTTAATACAAATTCACTACACTTATTTCTCTTTCTTAAAGTGTATATGGTGAGTTTAATATCGTAAATCTGAATGAGATTAATCCTGATACAAATAATCATGGTAATTCAGCAACCTAAGAAGTAATGCTTTCATTATTTTACCCCCACGAAACACTTTTTGTTCTGCTTTTAAATAGAACAACATGAGTATTTGTTTAGAAATCTTCTGTATACCTGAAACCGCAAAAAGCGAAACTTAAATACCTCTTCTCACCCATATATTCAGGCGAATATCATATAAAATACGGCTACGTTTATTATATGCACACATAAAGAAGAATTAATAAACAATCTGCAAAACATCTACAATGGTGGAAAGAACTAAATCTACATAAGGTTTTCAATTTTGAATAAAGGGCTGTTATATTTTGAATAACGTTCATTTTGAAGCATTTTAATAACAATTCCGAGATCACCTTGACTACCTTACTTCATAAATGTGCGTATTATGACCTTAATTTATTGTAGTACATTTCGCGAGAATAAACAATTATGGCCGTTGCGCTTCAGACACTTACTACGAAGATGGAAGGGCGTGATACCTTTTTTTAATTAGCCTTCATCTAGGGTCCGTTCTTCTCTTCGAAGGGCTAGACATGAGATTAGACTGTATATCCTTGGTACTCTTAGACAGTTGATTAGTCTGTAAGAATACATATATCACTTGAAAATATTGGCCATTGTCTGCGCTTAACTTGTGTGCAGAGAACCTAAATCTTCAAATGATTATTATTTGATCCTGAGTTGAGGGATAGGGTCCCAATTAATCGAAACATACAGCTTTTTTTTCGTTCAGGATTCCCAAAACCTCAGTCATTGAAGAAAAGAAACTCATCTGACTTATCAGCATGTAGGCAAATATTAAATTCTTCCTAAAAAATAATCTGGAGACGCTACCACATCCCTTCAAAACCTAATTTCTTGGATTACAGATGCGCCAAATTGTTTGCACAATATCTCCTAATTAATATTCTGAATTGATGTACTCCTATGTATAGTTTATTACTTAAATGTACTAGTGAAAGATAGTTGTTATCTTATCTTTTTTTCTTTCTGTAATTCTAAACGTTGTAAGCTTAGTAATGTAAGCTAGCTAAGTAAGGTTAATTTACTGGTACGATTACATTGTAGTTATAAATAAACCCCAGAATAAGTTTTTGACATTGGATGCTGACCACATTAGTTTTAATGAACTCACTTAGTTGAAGGCGCTTGATCATGCATCCTCACCAGATCACTAGTGGGAACGCCGTGCTCAAAATCTACTGCAATCGCTAGCCAGTTTAGATCAGAAAATCCCCAATATATTGATAGCTTGTCAAATACATCTTCGAACCTCCACGCTTCTGTCTTTTGATTCCACTTGGTGAGTACGATTCATAATAGAGGATGTTACTGGTCAAAGCGTTGTCAAACTTTAAATACCTGTGGCATCTTCAACATTATCGATTTTTCCGCTATTATGTTGTTCAACGCGGGCAAAATCACAGCCAGATAAATTCTAACCATAGTAGACCGAAAGAACACTGCCGTACGAGTAAGAAGGTCTCCACATAGAACTGTTATAATATCGTATGTCAAAAACCAACAATTTCTATAAATACGTAGAATTTCTATGCCATGTAGGAGGCCGGCAGTGGCATCGAAGCTGCTGTGAAAATGAGGAGACACTAGCTGGCTCTCTTGAGAATAATATAAGAGCGTTAGAAACAAGCTATACAGAAAAGACTTGCTTCGAGGAAGGTGATGTTTTCTTCTATTCATTGTAGCGGTAAATAAATCCCCAAAACAAATAGCTCTGTAAGTTTTCGACATTGGATGCTGACCATATGTTTTAGTGGACTCATCTAGCTGAAGGCGCTCGGTCATGCATCCGCACCAGATCACGTGTGGTGACGCCGTGATCAACATCTACCGCAATCGCTATTGGTTATCGCCAAATACACTCTTCCGATCTCCTCGACTTTGTCTTTTGATTTCTCTCGGTGGGTACAAATTATATTAGAAGGTGTTGCTGGTAAAAGCGTTGTCAAACACTGAATATCTGTGTCATATCATAAATGGAATGCACCAGAAACAATCTGATGTGGTTGAAGAAAAAAGAAAGAATTGCTGATATTGTTATCTACCGAAGACAACAATAATAAAGACTTATTTTATGGAAGACTGAAGTTCATCATGGAAAATTGCCTTGGAACAGACCTACTCATTCTGGCATTGAGCCTGGACCCAAAGGACGGTAGGGACAACATTGGGTACAAAACCTTAGTGGCGTATCATGAAAGTAATTAAAATGGTGCAAATCTTGCATATCTATGTGTTTTCGACAACATGGAAATACGTGGCATCATACTCTCTCACCAACGCATAGACAAGATATACAGATTTCACATGCCTTGGGGAACCAAATCGATCGCTAAAAAGCTTCAGATAATCCTTTGAAGACGTAAGAACAAGGAGAGAGTTAAGGTCGCCTCATATCACCACCTGAATTTGGCTGAGCTAGAACTGAAGTCAAATAGATTTGCACCGTTGGGCAAACAGAACAGACAAAAAATTTAAAGAACCCGAGATTTCTCTAGGCGAGATGTTCTAAGTCATAAAAAATCTAGTACAAAAAAATCGATATGGAGAACAACTGGGAAGGGACTGAAGAAGTAATAACTTTAATATGTGACGAGGCCTACTGCCTCGAAAAAACACTAGCAAAAGGAGTGGGTCTCTTCTGACAGACTTATCAATCTTCAAAATGGTCCAAACAAGAGGATAAAAGTCAAAAACAACCAAACAGAATCCAAGAACGTCAGAGCACATGCTGAATAAAAAGGAAGAAAAAAGAAGTGAAAAATCATCAGAACTGATACGGAAAAAACTCGGAAGATCACGCGACAGCAGTAAAAGACTTATAAAAAGAGCGATGTGAAAAACTTTCGTTCTCGTGGGTACCCTTCGATTAACTGAAAGAAAAAACCAGACCAGTGGTGAACAAAACTTTATTTCTATCGTGGAACAGAGCACTTTGAGCGCGAAGTTATCTTTTTTTGAACAAACAAAGCCCTTGAGTATTCAGTATAGAATAATAGGAAATATAATGCCTATGCAAAATAAGGAAGTGGATTGATGTATATGCACTTTGAAGTTTTCATACTGTTAAAGTGTCAGTGGCCAACCTATAACAAATCGACCTGAGTTATTACAATTCTACATTATCAAGCGAATAGGACGACAATGCAACATGGTAAGTCAGAACGAAAGGTTAAATACAAAGAAGGCGAAACAGCTGGGGAGTTTTGGGAGAAGCCAGAAAAAATGGGCAATAAATTTTGAAGAGACACAGGACACATCATCACCTATCGAGTTCGTACGTGCAGCGAGTGATGTAGTCAGTGACAAGTAGTATGGGTGCTTACCGAATTACTTACGATCGTTACGCCTCACAGAATAACACAAGCCAACCACAAGTATTATTCAACCACCTCTGTACGTGGAAACCTTTTCCAGCTGCTTCCAGTTTATTTTCGCGAGTTTATAATGCAGTCCGTCGTATGAACTACGGATGATGTTGACAATGTAGTCAGGTACACCGCAGTATCGAAGAAGTTCCAATGACGTTCTCCTATCCACTCTGTCAAACACTTCCTCATAATCAAGGAAGTTGATGTATGGTGACGAGTTCTATGCTATCGATTATTAAACGATTATGCGTATTGTGGTGATTTGGTATGTGCATGACTAATCCTTATGGAATCCAACCTGTTGATTTCGAAGTTGTGCACTTACTGAATCCTTCATCCGGTTCGGCTTTCCTCCTTTGTCTTTGACCGTTCTTTCTGGTTTACCACATTTCCCTACCAGTTTCTTCGTCGTGTCATATAGTTGTCTGATATTCCCTTCTCTTGCATCATTTTCCTCTGTCACTGCCAAGTGTTCCTTGTATTTCTGTTTGTCAGCTCTAATGCTCTAATGCTCACTCTCTTGTTTGCTTCAGTGTATTCAGCTTGTGTCTTGACTTTCTGTGTTCTCGTTCGACTGTTGTTAATTGTTACGCTATTGTTCTTCGTTTCTTGAATCTTGTCCACGGTTTCGATGTAGATCCATTCCCTATGATCATGATGATGATGGTGATGATGATGCTTGTTGCGACCCAGAACCTCCTGACACGTTGGAGTTAGTGTATCTTCGACCTCTTTCCAATTGTCCTCCGTCGTAGTTTTCTCTTCTTTGAGTAGATCATGTAGTGCTTGCAACCTGTTGTTGAGAGCTATGTTGAATTGGTTGATTTTGTCAGTGTGTTGAAGGAAGTCTGTATTGAACCTTCGTAATGCTGTTTGTCCAGATGTCCAGTGTTTCTTTCGCCTCAGTTTCATCTTACAACGACGAGTTGGTGGTGGTGATCTGAAGTAATTTCAGCTCCTCTGCAGGAAGGAATTGCTTGGATATTCATATTCAAAGGTTTCCGCCTCACGAGGGGTAACATACTTAGAAAAGTAGGCAGACTACATGATTGGTGAGTGAATTTCGTAAAGGAAATATAATCACTCAAACACATGGTTTATTCTTACATGGTACTTCATTGAGCAGAGTGTTTCCATTTAGAACTCCAAAGAGTTATGAAGTTGCATGAGGTGGTAGTTGTTTAATAAAGCTAACCGTGGTAAATAGCATATTTAGTGCCTTCGTGTCATTTAGAAATTGTTCCGTCCCACAAATTTCCACTGATGCTTGTTCCAAATGATAAAGAGTTTATGTTGGATGACGTTTTCGAGTACATATTTTTCATCGTTCTATATATGGATCAAACCTATGTAACTTCACAGGTCACTATTTGGTACTTTTCTAAATGAATTGATTTATTTTAAAAAGTTAAAGAGTAATGACAGAGTTCCTCGTATCACCTTTTCTATGGACATACCTCTAAGCCAAGGATGAAGTGAATCTACATGTTTACCTACAGGATAATGGAGGAAAGGGTGGAGGAATAGGGTAAAAATGGTTCATTCAAAATAAATCAACCAACTACAACTAAAGAAGTGTCCACTGAATGCACAAGGATTGGAGTTAACTGTTAAAAAAGCTGTGGATACATAGTTACCATAATAAATATATTAATCCCAAATGTTCAGTTAACTCTGCCTGTAGCTCTAACAGGGTTACTGCCGGTCCCAAGCCCGGATAAAGGAGGAGGGTTGGGCATGGGGTTAGCGTCCCCATCCCGTAGAAAACTAACTCGCTAAAAAAACGCTTACCAGAAAAAATAATTCAAACCATTTAAACTCTGCCCTGGGAGTTAGAAGGTCTTCAGTTAGAAGAATTATGACGCTTCATGGTGAAAGCCGAGTTCCTTCGGAAGCCACGAGGCCGATGCCCCTTCTAACAACCAGAGCAAAAATTTTTATAGGTACATGGAACGTTCGAACAATGTGGGAAACCGGGAAGACCAGTCAAATAGC